GGGCGTCTGTTGTTGGCCCTGCATCGATCGGATGGTGCTTGTGATTGCCGGGGCTCTGATTATCGCAGAGTCTGGGCAGATCAGGACGTCGAAGGCGGCGAGAAGGTGTTTAGGCGGTTGCGACGCGAGGGCACTTTTGACATGAGAGCTCGGGCCGTCGGTATGATATAATCATTGCTGCTTACTAGCCCTACTCCCGATAACGCCGCGAGCTACCCAACCGACTAACCTCCAGTATGTGGTAATAGACCATGCCACCATACCGATGATCCGAATGAACGCAGCGTAGTCGAGCATACACCAGAGTACAGCATGAAGGCTGTGTGGCTGCCTCGTGGACCATGGGCGCATGCGACACTGCCGAAAACGTCGCGAACCGATGGGCCGGTCTTTGTCCGATCACCATCCCGGCGAACAGGTTCGCAGCTGCCTCCCAAGATCAGGACACCAGATCACGTGCGCCACCATCTCGAATTGCGCGCAACGTCAACTCATCGTCGCATCGATTTTTGATGCTCATTGCCGCTCACAGACAACGGTTGTAGTACTGGCGGTGTGGTGGGAAAAAGAAAGGTGGCGGGACGCGTGCTGCCTACCTGGATACCCAACGGCTTCCGCTTCGCAACCACTTCATCACCAACAACCCAAGCGAGCCTTGAATCTAAGAGATGGAAATATTGAAAAGCTATAGCCAGCGAATGAGGCATTCGTCGAAGTACGAATTATACTTTCCACGCGCCTCGCTGACTACACCCGAACCTGTATCCAAGATACCACCGTCTCAGAGTCTCAAAGCCAACAGTCGTCTATAACATAACATCTGGCAGCTAGTAGCAGCAACGAATGAAGATGCGTGCAGATGGCACCGCTGATATGTCCAGATCAGTTCCTTGGTCCCGCCGACAAAGGCCCACTTAGCTCCAACGCATGCATGTCAAACTCAGCACCCGCTAAACACCAAGGCCCCACGACCCACAACCCCGGCTTGGAACACGATACATCGCTGGTAGGTTCGCTTTTGGTGTTCCTGTCTTGTTCGTTGCGTGGTCGACTGTCAACTGGGAATATATCACCCAACAGCCACCCTTTCTTCCACATACGACCATAGGACCATGAGAATTAGGCTTCCCGTCCGCTCAGCCATATACAAGCATTGTACCGGCGGATTAGTAGTTAGGTGGGTGACCACTAGCGAATCCCCGCTGTTGTATGTTTTTGCACTTTTTTGCCCTGGCTTCGACAAGCCAGAGGCGACCTAGAGGGCGAGCCAACCATCCAGGAGCATGACAGCTAGTCTCTACTACTCTTCGAGAGCGTTGGCACTTGTTCACAACAAGGCCGTTCCAATTCCAATAGCTCTCACGTCGTTCCTCTCAACCTTATCATAGCGGTATCGTAGGCAGCCGCAACCCCTCAATCTACTGCAATCCTTTTGCTTCAATATCTGTCTCAAAGCAACCCACAAGGTCGAGGAGGATTTCAGAGCTCTACTGAGCCCATGCCTTTTACCTTATCATGTTCAAACTCGCGAAGTCGCTTTTTCGAAGGCAACCATGGCCCCAACTCAAGTTTCCGACATCTGGGTTCGAAGTCGTCAGTGACGCGGTATCGTTTGAGGAAGAACAGCTTGAAGAGTTTCACAGGGGCGTCTACTACCCTGTCAACATAGGAGATGTCTTCGCGTCAAAGTACCAAGTAGTAGGCAAACTTGGTTTCGGTGTCACGTCCACTGTCTGGCTGGCCCGTGATCTACAGCAAGTTAGCATTCGGCCATTATGCTAGCTACCTATACTGACATCAACCAGCCGCCATGCCTACACGACCTTGAAAGTCTTCACACGAGAGAGCATGAACGAGGATGAGTACGACATGTACAATGTCCTAAGCAAAGGCAATGCTTCGCATCCAGGATACAAACACGTCCGGACAGCCCTCGATTTGTTTAACATACCCCGACAAGGTGGCGATCATCGATGTCTCGTTCAGAAACCAATGTGGGATAGCTTTAAGGACCTCTTGAACAGGAACCCTACGCACCGTTTCACGGATGAGCTGCTACGAGCTGGATTGTCGCAGGTGTTCCTCGCCCTCGACTACCTTCACACGGAAGCCAAGGTCATACATACAGGTACGGTCTACCTAACACATGTCTGTCCACAATCCTGTTAACAAGAACGTAGACATAAAAGCCGACAACATCCTCACAGAAATCGAAGATCAAGACATCTTGAAAGCCTTTGTCCACGCCGAAATGACATCTCCCTCGCCTCGAAAGGTCGTCGATGGCAAGCCAATCTACGCGACACGCCAATTCGGATTACCCAAAGAATACGGTCGTGTTGTCCTTGGAGACTTCGGCTCTGCAGTCCGTGGCGACAAGCCCCAGATTCACGATGCGCAACCAGACGTCTACCGCTGTCCAGAGGTGATGCTGAAGACAGAATGGGGTTATTCTGCTGACATCTGGAACGTGGGAGCGATGGTATGTAGCGTCTCAAGCTTGAGGACTGCGAAACTAGACATTGACCGAGGTGCACACAGATTTGGGATATATACGAGGACAAACACCTCTTCCACGGCATTGACCCAATCGAAAAGCGATACCTGACTAGAGCCCATCTCGCAGAAGTAGTCGCGATGCTGGGTCCGCCGCCGATGGATCTGCTAGAGAGAGGAGCGCGGAGTAAAGAGTTCTTCGATGGTGAAGGGAATTGGATAGCCGAGATAGACATACCGCGAGGCTTGACTTTGGAGGGATCGGAAGAGAATCTAGATGGAGAGAAGAAAGAGAATTTTCTGCGGTTTGTGAGGTGCATGTTGCAGTGGAGGCCTGAGGATCGGTGGACCGCGAAGGAGTTGCTTGGGCATCCTTGGATGAGAGGCAACTAACTCACTCCAGATCGACACATCTCATCAAAGCCGGCAGCCAAGCTCATGTGTTTCGCTGGAGATTCCATGACCTGACCGTGTTGCCATCCATGCTGGTGTAATCTTAGAGACTCCGAGAAGCGCTCCGTCTGTAATTTAGTTGTTGAGTCCGGCCGTGCGTTGAGCCGAAACCGCTGTCAGCATATGTCAATAACAAAAGCTTTCGATCAAAGATCACGAAGTAAGGCGAGAAGGAAGGTGGTGTATGGATGAACATTATCATTTCCAATTCCATCAGTCTATAAACAAGAAGCTATGCAAACGCTCAAATGCGATGTAAATATGTACAATATCGAACGATCTCCACCAGCTCAGCATCTAAGAAGAGTAGAGGCACTTGTAGGTGGTCTCCTCCTTGAGGGCCTTCATGGTGAAGGGAGTGCATCCCTCAGAGCCAGCAGGCTTGTCAACACCAGAGAGCCAGATCTTCCAGCCACCGCCGACAGCGCCGGGGCAAGCCTGGAAGCCAACATCGCCGGAAAGACCACCAGCAGCGAAGACAAGGTCACCGTCGTCGTTGATCTTGAAGGGGCCGCGCTCCTGGTTCTTGCCAATGGGCTGGACACCAGTGGAGTAGCGGACGTTGCCCTGGCCCATGCCGCTGCGGTCGACGTAGAGCTGGAGAGGGGGGTTGAAGGTGTAGATGTAGACGCTGCCGGTCTCCTCGTCGAGCGAGAAGGAGGCGTAGTTGATGCCGTTGGTGACGTTCTCGCGGTCGCCGTTGACGGCGCAGGTCTTGTTGTTCTCCGAGGGAGTGTTGATGAGGAGGCTGCCGTTGGCGGCCTGGACGTTGCCGTACTGGATGGGAGTGGCAGAGCGGAGGGACATCAGACGGAAGATGTCGCCGGCCTCGGGGCGAGGGAAGACGGACGCCTGGGGAAGGGCGGAGGAGATAGCGGCCATGGAGGCGATGGCGGCGGCGGCGGTGAACTTCATGTTGAAGGTTTGGAGGTGTTGTTGAAGTGTGGGAGTGGTAGTTGTGTTGATTAAGTATTAGTGTAGAGTTGATGAGTTGATGGTTGGATGAAGGGCTATTGAGAGCAGCATCCCATCTCTCTTATATCCAAATGCAATCTCGTATTTCCTCCCCTCGTCGTACATCATGCCTGTCCTCAACGAGGCTGAAGGGTGTCCACACTCGGCGCCGACGACCAAAGCGCAACGCTATGACTTCATCCAGTCGGGTAATTATCGTATCCCCAGTTTTCGTGACCCTGCAATGGCAAGCACCGGCTGTGGCGCGCCCCCCTCCCATGACCGTCTAGAAGGTTTTGGGCGGAAATGACGCATAATTGCCACGGCATAGGCCCGAAGCCCTTGGCAGGTAGCCGAAAGAGGGAAAGCGCAGCCCCTTGTCGATTTCTGATTGGTGGCGGCCTCGGCCGGCATGCGCTCGAAATAGACACAGCAATGTCGTCTCCAGAATACATTCATGCCGAGGATATGCCCTTGGAAACTAACGGTGTAGACAGTCGCATTGAGAGACACATGTGGTCGCCTCCAGTCGAATACGATGGAAGATCGCAAGGCGATGTTACTTTCGCTCGTAAAGGTGGGTTTCAGCAGCTGCTGGTAGTATTGCTGTAGTGCTTGGACGAACGTTTCGAGAACATCGTCAATGCAAAATCTTGAAAGCCCGGCATCGTACCGGCGTATTTCGTACTTGGGTGGGTAGGCACTGGGGCATCCCCGCTGTTGACTGTTTACGCTCTTTTTTTAGTACTTGGATCGGTTCTCGGAGGAAGAAGCGTCATCGAACGCCTCCTCTTGTCTTCCGCGCTCGAGCCTGAATGGTCTTCTCGTGAGGACCCTCATAAGGTACACTGGGAGGTGGACATTCGGTAACGGTGGTTGTCATCCAAATTCCTTCCTCCGCACTGCTTCGATCAAGACCTAGACACCGGATTCCCTCGCTATGTTTAGCTCCGCGCTTTGAGCTTTTGGTTTGGCTTCGCATTAGGTGAATGTTATAGTCTACGTGTCTCTCGAAGAAGCAGGGCTATTCGTACACTCCGTCACTCCATCCCACCAGAGCTGCACTCTAGCCAGAGTCTTCTTGCCGAGAGACATCTTCATCGTACATGGAACACCTCCTCTGATCCGCCCCGAGCGTTGTGTAACTGCACCACCTCGCCGTCCATAATGCCATGTACGTACGCCGCACCAAGTAACCAATAATCGTCGCCTTTCTTTCGCATGATGAAGGGCCATCTGCCTCCTCTTAGGACTACAACCACATCCCCGGGTTGCATGCAACGAGGTCCTATACCTACGCGTCCAGCCCCGGTAACGAAGAAACGGCGGTCTAAGCAATAGTCTACGCGAGAATCGTCGTAGATCGACCGAGTCACTGCCAGATCAAAGCCGTTCTTGATCCCTATGCCACCAGCGGCTCCAGCGTTCTCGCACACAGTCAAGCTCTTGAAATATTCTACAAGAACATGCAGATCGCTCGACTGTGCGCGCATTCCATGGTAGGTGCTGCCAGCCACAAGAGTAAAGGTAGTGGCTAGAAAGAGCTCTTCCTGACTCGGGATGTTGCAATGGCGTAAGACTATGCCCTTGACGGAGATCAGCCACTCGTGGAAATCTTCGTAAGTCTCCCACGTACTTCTAAGGCATGAAGCGGTCGTTTGATATATTTCATCGACCGCTAATCCTTCGAGGAGCAGCACTTCTTCGCCAAACGAAACATCCTCAAGTAAAGATGGCGCCTCCAGACCGCCACTAGCATTGAAATGATTAGGTAGCAACACAGCGTCCCAAGCTTCTCGTTGCAGGTCTGCGCGAATGGCCCATGTCGGAAACGATTGGGGATCGTTCAACACATCGAAGTCGTGATCGATCATGTTAAAAGGGGACAGACCACCTCCTTGACACAAGGCATACCGTGTAGCATCGCGCAATACGCTAGAAAGCGGTTTCGTGTAGTCGACCTTAAGTAATGCCGCTTGGCTGTTTTCTAAGGATGTGTCTTTGTCCAGTAACCCCAGAATGGCGAAGATGCTGTCTTTTGGCTCACTCTTTTCGGATTGCCGGATGGTCATGAACATAGTGGCTAGATGTCCACGCGTCGATACCCAACGAGAGTGGGGGTAGAGGATTTTGAACATCTCAGAGGCACAGCGCAAGCCAACGCCATTGCCAAAACTATCAGGGATGAATAGATATCTGTACATGAGCCATCCTGCAGCTCGTACTGTATCGAGAAGATCCAAAGTATAAGTGCCCCAATAGCAGGTATTGGATGATGCAAGGACCGCTTCTTGAAGCACCCACAGACGTCTATAACCGCTGAATTCAACTCGACGTGAAATAGTGGGCGTGCAGTCTTACCTGAACCAGTGGTGACTGAAAAGGGCTTCAAGAGCTTCGAAGTCAATACTCGCGCTGAACGGTTCATTTGAGATTGACCAGCTGCCCGTTTCGAGATTGCTCATGGTTTCCCACGCTAGGGTGAAGTCTGCAGTCTCGGCGCGCATGTCGTCCATAACGTCCTCGAGAGCCTTGATACCTCTGACAGCCATGTCTTTGTGGTCTTCGCCAAGGTAAACAAGATTTTGCTTCGCGGTGCTGTAGACAGTTGCCATGAAAGCTACTTGTGCACTACGTTCTGTCATCGATGACTGATCGATACATATGGCATCGATCCAGAGTACTCGCGGTCTGTCCCTGAGTCGCATGCGCCTGACTGCGGCCTCCGAACTTGCCGGCACCTCTACCAGATGCCCATTGAGCTTTATAGTGGACGGGTCCCGATGAGGTCCCCAGCAATATGATATCGTCTCGTAGCATGGCACGGGATGATCAAGGAGCGAAATGCGTTCCAAGGTACACTCGAGGATCTCATCGCCACTCGCGGCAGCGACCTCGAGGACGCGTATCTCTCCGTAGGACAAGGGTAGAGCTTCATAGGGCGACGGGGAGCTGGACGTGGGGTGCGATGACATGGCTGCGGTCCTGACAACGATTGCATGAATGTGCGCTCATGCGAAGATAGGGGAGACCTCGGGATGCTGTAGCAAGAATGTAGGCTGAGAGGTCGCAGGTCTCTTTAGCCTGACCGACCAGGCTGAAGATGGAATGCGCGGATGACACTCCAATCGGAAGGCCGAAGCTCTTGGCTACTTTCTACCAATCGCGCCCGACTTCTCAAGCCACAGTCCAGTGTGAGCGGAGCGAGCCATTACAAGTAGATGTCGCTCAGCAAGATGCATGAAGTTTTTACTGACTAGGTAGCTCTGATCATGTGGCAGCTGTACGGTTTCCGTTGTGATGGCGCAAGGCTTTCAAGATGAGACAGGCCGCTCAACCTACGACTGTCGCTCAAGGACGCTAGCCCCCGACTGTCCTAGTACACTGCGGGGCATCATCGGGCCACCAGTGGCACCTGGGACCCGTGGACACCACCGGGCACTAGTACTACAACACCACGCCTGGACATGTCTTAGTGCCATCCTGAAGAGCTCGTGAGATCTTGTCCTTCGAACGAGTCGCGAAACATGGCTACACGTAACTGGCTATGGCTTTGTCTAGCCTGGACGTTCGCGGCTGCAGCCACCACGACGAGGCTGAACTACATCATGTACCTAACAGGGTAAAGTCACAGCCCGCAACTCCTACGTGAGCCAACATCACTAATGCCTATTAGGCAGCATGATGTGGTACCGGAGAAAATTCAGGTGTCAAACATTACTGATGTAGCTCTTGCCTTTATGCGTTCCGACACGTTCAACACTCCAGACCAAGATGAGTGGCCCCTCTTCACTACCATTGAAGAAGTCCGGCCCAAGTTTGCGGATGGAACGATCGTCCAAGTCGCAATTGGCGGATGGGGCGATACGAATGGCTTCTCGACAGCGGCTAGAACAGAGGAAAGCCGGAAGCTGTTCGCTAGCAACGTCAAGGCTATGCTCGATGCTACCGGCGCTGATGGTGTGTCGCACTTAAACAAACCTGATCAGAGAAGAAGCTGACCTCACAAGGTATCGATATGGATTGGGAATACCCAGGCGGCAACGGCGAAGACTACAAAACACCTGGCCATCTCAACTCCAATAAAGCTTGGGAGATATTTGCTTACCCCAAGCTACTAGCAGAAATCCGTTCGGCAGTAGGGCCTGAGAAGACTATCTCAGCAGCCGTCCCTGGTCTACCACGCGACATGCTGGCTTTCACCCCTTCCACCATTCCCGCCATCATGGAGTCAGTCGACTACCTGAACATTATGACATACGACATGTTCAACCGTCGCGACAACGTAACAAAGCATCATACCGGTATCCAGAACTCGTTTGAAGCCATCGATGCATACCTCGACGCCGGCGTACCGCCTGAGAAGGCGAACTTGGGACTGGCATTCTACATCAAATGGTACAAGACCGCCGCGAATGCGACATGCAGTGTCAACCCCATCGGCTGTGCGACAGAACTTATGGAAGATCCCACCACCGGTGCTGACCTAGGCAAAGCCGGCGCATTCTCATGGCACGACGCCGTTCCTGAAGAAGTTTCCGCATCGTACGAGCGTGCGATGGAGAATGGTATGTATGACGAGGTGGGTGGTGGACAGTACTACTGGGATGCCGAAGAGAACTTATTCTGGACCTGGGATACGCCTGAGGCTATTAAGCGCAAGGTGCAGATCGTCATGAAGGATAAGGGGCTTGGTGGTGTGTTTGCATGGGGATTGGGAGAAGATGCACCAAAGTTCGAGCATTTGAAGGCAAGTAATGAGGCGGTGGCGGCATTGGACGGATGCAAGAAAGGGCGTAGAGAGACGTCTGGTGAGAGGAGTGAGCTGTAGTGATTATCGATGGGGACCTCGGGAATGTCTAAGGATCCTTCAGATCGCGCTAGCTCATGGTGGGTTTAGCTCCAGCAGCCGGCGAAACCTCGGGCGGGAAACGTAAAAACCGGCCTTCGCTGCTGCCATCCTGACTCCGAAGTGACGATACCTCAAACACTCTACTGTACAATGTGACCGTTTACAAGTATCACCCTGTCAATTCCTCAAATGCAACCACCCTACCTCCTTCGCGATCGGCCCCAAGAAGCTTGCCGCCAACCGTGCCCATCCATCTCCTCGACCACGTCACCGTCACTCCCTGCCGTGATATCCTCCAGCTTGCGCTTCCTGATCGTTAACGAAGGATGGCATGCTTTCTCATTTCCGTGTACTTGGGATCTGCTGTTTGCAACAATGATACTGTCGTTGGCATCCCCGATGACGCTGTCGACTTCTTCTGCGACGCCGGCCACGTCGTCTCCGAAGACGCTGTCGATGGTGTCTGGTACCTCTTCTAGAAAGGGGACTGCGGGTTGGTGCGTGGCGTTTGGGATATCTGGCTGCTCTTGGAAGTCCTCATCGGGAGGCATGATGTCCTCTTCATCCTCGCTGTCTGGAACTTCGAAGCTGTGGGAAACTCCAGTAATGTTTGTAAGAGCCTCTCGACCTATCAGGAGCTTCACGATGAGTGAAGGTCTCATGGCTGTCGCTGTGCTGGGCGTCGGCTCATGCTGTATTTCGCTCATCCATTTCAGGGTAATGTTGATATAATCGAGGGCGGCAATCATACAGGTGTCAAACCGACGCCATCGGATGGCACAGTCGCTCAACCCTGCTACCAGCGCGTAGTAGGCGATAACTGCGCAAAGCATACCGCGCCCATCCTTGACACCTTCGTCTGTTTCTTGATGTAGGAGACAGAAAGGCGATTTGAGATGATTCGCTTTTCGCAATAAGGACGAAGCAGATCGCGGGTATAGTCGAAGTGTATTTGCACCATTGGAGTGAATAGGTACCTCATCGCGAAACAAGATGGATGGTTCACTTCCATTGCTATCGAGGAGTATGTACGCCCATACAGAAACCGACATCCCATCGCTCTGCTTCCGGTCCCCGAGAAAGATATTCAGAGCTTTGTGTCCTTGGAGACTTGCCTGGTCGAATGTGGGTGTAGCAGGAGAGAGCACTTCCTCTATGACTGTGAACAAGCCGCGGCGGACTAACGTGGCGTTCAGTCTGTTGATGCAGCGCTGCCATCGTAGGGGCAGTGTCGCTTGGGTCTCCTTTGCAGTCGTCATTGGCAGGCGATACAGTACTATTGTTGAACTTTGAGATCTGGGAAGTCGAGAGCAAATGCAAAATCAGAGCCGACTTAACGCTAGTGGTATAATCGACGCACAGATCAGGCTTGAAGATCCCGTAGCAGATGGACCGCCATACACCTAAGTCGAAGACCTCATACCGCTGATGCGCTGACTGCGACATAATCAACGGCGTGTGTGGTCATGGAAAGCTCCCAGGTACTCAGGTACTGATAGAGTATGCTCGCAGAGTTGCACCAGCATGAACTGTACCCAGGAGGTACTCAATGTCGTCTACAGAAACACAAGCTCAAATATAATACAGCGAATGCCTCCCGGGTACCACATGGCTAAGCTTCGCCTTCTCCATCGAAAGCGCGCTAGAGCCACGCTAACCCCATCCATACAATGCAAACGCCGGGATCAACACAAAACAAGACGCGACAACCAACTCAGCTACCTTACACCGAAAGCACCTGCTTCAATCTCGGCATTGGTTCCAAGGGCCATGGAAAACCAAGTAGGTGCGGCCGATACGGCCCTTGCCGAAACCCAAGCCCGTGTCCCACTTCTCCATCATCTCCCTCTCGCCAGGGTCCGGCTTGTCGCCTTCGTTGACCATAAGAACGAGCGTCCAAATATGATGCCCTTTCGTATGCTCTTCGGCACCATCAAGGATGGGAAGGATAAAGATTGCCAGGTGTGGATTCTGCTGCAGAACGACCACGCCGCTGGCCGCTCCCCCGAGCAACGCTTCAACATCTTCGACCGTCTCGGCAAGCTCCGAGGAGGCATAAGCGCGGAGGAAGCGGTGAGGTAAGTCATTCCTGCTTTATGAGCTAATGTAGAACACGTACTGACGTCTTCAGACTTGTTCTTGAGGCAAATGCGTTCAAGTGCCTCAAGAAAGCGGGCACTATGGATTTGGACCAGCTCCGCGTAGTGATCAAGTACTACTTCATCTTCAAGGGCGTTAATACACCAGTGCCATGGATAGTCAATGGCTACTTCACCACTTGGCTGACTGCGGCATGCAAGACGGCTGGAGAGTACGCTGTAAAGGTGGCCGCGAACATTGAGAAGGAGAAGTCACGCGCCTCTGTTGCACAGAACGCGTACAGTACCAAGCCCTCTGTCTCTCAGTCTAGGCCAGAAGGAGATGGTTCGGTGGTGAGGACGCGCGTTTCGTCCGCTCAGAACGTGGACGGTGCCAGGCGTTCGGTCTCTCAGTCTGGATCAAGAGCGGGCTCGGTGGTGAAGGTGAACGGCCAGCCTGCAGCGGTCAGCCCTCTAGTCAAACTGGCTAAAGCTAGACGCACTCCGCAGCCCACCCCTCAGCGCGCCCCTACGGTCTCCATGATTCCTGCAGTACCAAAAGAACCGAGCTTGTTTATCCCCGAAGGCGATTCTCTCAAGAGGGCTCGCACCATGACCCCGGACGCGCCCAGGAAGCGAGTGACTACGAGCACACCACCACTACGATTGACTCCTTCGGCGGCTACAGCACAACCCTCGCCCTCAGCAATAGTCAACACAGGCCAGGGTTTCCTCATCCACTCGGACCCCGTTGAGACAGACAACAGTGACGCCATGGATACTTCACGTACCTCGTCAACACGCCGGGATTCCACAGAAGTCCTTGTAAGTTTCACCTATTCATCTAGAACCCGTTGTATACTAACAGGTTGCCAGGTCGAGAAGAGCCCCAACTCCCAATCATCCATTGGGTTCGCCGACGCCTATCGTAACGCCCTCGATAAGAAGAGCAGGTGCAAGGAAAACATCATGATCAACAAGGAGAAGCAAGGGGATGTGCGCGATGAGATCAAAGCTCTTGAGACTCAGCTAGCCGACATGCAGGTGGAGGGTCGGGAGCTGAAGGAAGAGAATCGGCGCATCGGAGTCGAAATGAAGCATCTTCGTTCGTCACTCACCCCGAAGGAGCGCGAAATCTTCATCCTTGGAGGTGAGATCGTGAAGAGAGCGTCGAGGTGGGCGAGGAAGGGTGCAACGTCCGAGACCGACAGCAGCGAGGAAGACTAGTTTACGCCGTGCTTAGTATGGCGTTAATGGCTTGGACGGGGACTTTCTTGATACCGTGGTAACAGCGGCAGTAGCAGTACGATCAGTATGACGTTTGCAGACTACAAGGCCTCTGCAGGTTGCTGTAATCAAGTAGCTATCGTATTGTATTCCACACGGTAGTGTGTTTCAAAACTGTCCAACATCATTCATGCATCCAAACTACAGCGCCACAACGCTCGCGTTCCATCTTCAAACTCCTCCTCCAGCTCCTGGCATCAGGCTTCCAAAGATCTGGACCAGTAGGTCTGCTTGGTGTCTGAAGCGCAGATCTTGGCTTCGCGTCGCTGAGTATTGCCAGGCAGCCCATCTGCATGCTTACTCCGCGACTTCGCCTTTCGCTATTCGATGCTTGTCAATCATCAGGAGTATGTGAATATTGTGACGCCTCAATGACGTCTAAGGAAGAATTCGTTGATAGCGCGATGCTCTGGCCTATTCGATCGTTGGTCCTCGTCATGGAGCGAGTTTCGCGCTGCCGGTCGGTGCAGGCTTCGCTTCGGCAGCGAGGGTAGTAGTGTGTAATGACGAGGATAGACGTGTGGTCGAGTAGCTTTATACGCGTTGCTTCCCGTGACTCGCTTGAGTGCGCAATGTGATAGTTTGGTGCCGTCCACTAGTACTGCGATGTTACGTAGCGACGTGCCAGCCACGACGTCCGCAACACAAATAGTACCCACGCGATGAGATTTGCGCGAATAGATGAAGTTCCGAAGTAGAAGCTGAGAGGACTGGTGGCCGGTATTGCGATGTTCTTCGCGCCTGGGTATCAATCGCAGAGGATTGGAGTTCCTGTCTGTCGACTCGTCGTCGTAGACTGGCTTGTGTGACTACTCGTAGAGCGATGCATCCACTTCCATCCAAATCGTTCGTTCCAGAAGATGGCAGTACGTCGACATCAGGCCATGAATCAGCTTTGAGCTCAATCGAGTCTGGCAATCTTTCTTGCGGTGTCGAGGCGACCCAGCTCGTAAGCCTCTTCCCTCGACAACACATTCCAAAGTCGGTCCTTCGCGACCTTGGCTTGATGTCTCTCAGCGATGAGCAACTCTACAGCTTCCGCCTCCATATTGATCTCTTTCTCAATCTCCGACCTCTTCCGCTTTAGGTCCTCTATTCGGTTGTTATGGCGCTTTATGTTGGTGCAGGCGGTCTCCATTCGGTCTTCGAGATCAAAGTAGCGGTCGATTGGGTCGAGTGGTTCGATCATAGTAGCGCCACTCAATCTTCGTGATTCATCATCGCGCTGCATGCTGTTAGATGACGTTGGTTACAGCTGTATCCTTCGTAACATACCTTTGCGTCATAGTCGGTAGTGCTGCATGGTGAGGGTAGCTGATGGACTGATATTGTTGACTTTGAGCGGGCTCTTTGACTTGGAACGACTTCTGAAGGTTGTTGAGGTTCAACCAGGGCTTCTGGTGATTGTTCTCGACCAAGATATTCGGGGACGCGAACTCGTAATTTGACGATCTTAGATGGGGCCTCACTACCGAGCATGGCTTTGAGTAGCCGGTTTTGTTCAAACGTGAGTTTCGGTTGGTATCTCTTCGTCAACTTCTTTCTCGCGAAATAGTATGTGGCCAAGGCCTCCAGCTTCTCCGGGGTTGTGGCAAGCTTGAACCAGGCACAGGGTTTCGCTTTCTCCAGAGCCTCTTCAACTGTGATGACCTGAGGCTTGGCGTCACCCTCGGGGTAGTAGATCTGCCAGATGAGGGACGTCGTGGCCTTGTCTAAGTAGATCCAGACATCAGCTTTCTCTCCCGTTCCACGGATCTCGCCATATAGTAGCGCTGTCTTCACAGTATTTGGTATCTCGTTTTGTCTCATCCAATTGAGATCATTGAATGAGAAGCCGTCGGAACAATCCATGATTTGTTTGTGGGGCTGGGAAGAGCTGTGCGGGCTCTGAATAAGTACGGGAAGCTTGTAGAAGGATTGAAGTATAATGTTGTCTTGATATCAGAGCTTCGAGTACAATAACATATATTGGAAAGTACAAAATAGAAATCGTGTCAATCGTTGTTCAGACCGCTCTTCCCTTGGCGCGATGTGGGTCGTTTACACCTGCAGGTGTTCGAACATGCGTGACGTGGTTGGCGTGAACGCGATTCCACGTGGGCCACAGGTATCGATAAGACCCAGGTTTACGCTCTTCGTACGCACTGGAAGCGATTGAGGTGATTTTCAATCGCAAGGACGCGACGCGAATTTACGTTGGGGAGCCAAGAGTTTTACCGTTGGCGCATTTACTGATTACGTCATGCGTCATCGAACTTGCGGGGGCCACTAGCTGATCTTGGAATCCTGAAACTCAATTCACAGCTCCTTCAGTTTCTCCCCCTTTCCATCGACATATTGCCAATTGATTTGAATCAAAGCATTGAGATGTTGTAGAGAGTCCATCTGTTACCAGTTCTACTTCTGTACACACGATCAATTCGTCTCTACTGGTAACTTGAGCTACCTGGGTATCCTCCTCGGGCCACGTCCATCTGCAGCTAGCCATCCCTTGCTCCTCCCAGGTCATGCAAAAAGAACGCAGGATCTAACCCCGCCATTTCTCTAACCAACCATCAAACGTGCAATTATCAACACCACCAAGCGTGCGTCGGGGGTAGGTCCGTGCCCTCCGGAGACTACTCCCGCCGTTGACGCTTAGTCTCCATCCTCCGTCCAGCTTCAAACCCAAAGTCCAGATGCTCGTCTTTATCCAGCTGAATCTGCAGCTGCTTCTTCTCCGCCCGCACACGATCTTTCTCCTCTTTTAAGTCGCCCTGTCGGTTGCCGATTGTGTTGATGTCCGCCTGTAGCCCAGCTACTTGGTCCGCAATACGTACACGCTCCGTCTCCATGTCGCTGATCCTACTATCAAGATCTTCTTCCCGGGCTTTGAGCGCAATGTATTGATCCATCATCGTCTCGCGGTCGATGTCGTCTGGGCGCGCGCCGTCGGCTGGTTGTCCTTGATTTGCTTCGTTGTTGTTACTAAAGGAAAGGTCTCGCATCTCTTCATCTCCCGGGCGCTCGTGAAGGGAAGGCTGAACAGGCGCGAGGAACGGGGAAGGTGGTCGGGAATAGGATGAGAAGTTGCTAGATCCCTCGCGAGGAGCGCTGCGCTTTTCTGTCTCAGGCTGAGCGTCGAGATTTGAGCCCGAACTGTGCCTGCGCTTGCGAGTGTCCATACTGCGCATGCTCCTGGGACGGGATGGCGCGCTCGACACCGGTCTTGATGGCGCTAAAGAAGCTGCGTACGAAGGTTCTCGTGGGTCTGGAAATTGCGAAATAACACTCTGATCGCGACCTCCAGTAGGCATGACTGATGAACGCCGGCTTGCTGCCTTGTTGGCTTGCGTCTCGTTGTATATGGCTTTGTAATGCTGACACACGCGCATAAGGGCCTCTTTGAACGGGCCAGACGATACCGGATACTGCAGTTGCATATCGATACCTCTACGGATAAAGAAGTACTTCGCGATAGCTGTGACCGCATCGTGGTCTTTCGCATGCTTGAAAGGCGCTGAAGCTAATGCGACACTCTGAACCGAGCCCGGACGCACTCCCGCCTCATGGCCTTTTGCGCCTTCGATAGTCTGGAAGGTTATCATCCGGTAGTCGTGGTGGCTCTTCTTCTTGTTGTGGTAGTTGAGGGTCCAGTAGATCCAGAGCGAACCCTTGCTCTCCATCATGTCGCCATAGAGGAGCCGCTCGGGCGCTGCTTCGGCGATCTCGTTTTGCGGCTCGAAAGTGGCGCGCTTGTAGGGGAGAAAGTTGAGGAGAGGCGCGTCGTCGCCAAGGTCGCGCTTGAGTTTGGCGTAGGAAGGGCTGTCGTCGGGTTGGGGGGATGGGGCAGACATGGTGGCGAGAGTCGCAATGTCTTTGACAGGTTTGCACGCTTGGGTGTGGTAAAGCTGAGTGTGCGGATGCAGATGCGGTGCCTACCGCAATGATCAAATGAGGCAGTCATATACTCAGCGAGATGCGCTAGTTACGAGAGTGTATTAGTTGATTCTGGATCATTCACTACCTGATCATTGTCTATTGCAGTTAAATCATTGGAAGGTAGGTCAACGGCATAACGACGAGTCTCTTTTCTGTCGAATTTTGGCCTACGGCTGGAATCGGTACTTTATAAGTATACAATACACCAAGATTTGCAAGTTATACAAGTAAGACACTGCGTAGCCTCCAAGGTAGGCTTTGCTGCCCAAGTATTCAAGTGTATGACTGAAAATACAGGAAGTCGAGACCTTCATCAAGCGACTCTAATCGAGCTTTCTGCGCTTCTCCTCCCGCTCCATCTGCCCGCCTAACTTGAACGCATCCATCAAGCTCATGCCCTTGAAGACCAGTTCGCGGCGAGCGTTTATCTCGGCCTGCTTCTCTTTATTGACGCGACACCGCTGTTCCAACGCCCTCTTCTCTGTATCTAGAGCACTGTTGGAAGCCTGGAGCTCGCGCTCGTCGTCGCAGACCGCAAGGAGAGTTTCGAGTCGCTCAACGTTGTAATCATGAGTCTGTCAAAGTTAGTAACGGCGCAAGAATGTGTTGTTCTGTTTGTTTGGGTACTTACGAGAACGGAGGATACCTCGGCAGTGATTATTGAGGTTGCCTTGACTGGCTGAGTAGGCTCAAGAAGGTCCTCTGGAGGATCACTAAGGACGCTGTCATGGTCATCAATCAGCGTTACTGATGGTGAGCGCGACGATCTCTCCTTCGCTTCCTCGAACTCCCGACAAACGACTCTCAAGCTGTCGACGAAAGTGCGAGTAATCGGTATGGGTATCTCCAGCTCACTAGCGCCTCCCGCCTCCCTTGATACGAGAGCCTTCAGGTAGTAGTACTTGGCTAGCGCCACGTGCTTGCCCTTCGCTGCTTTCTTCGGGTTGTTGAACGCGCTAGCGAGTGCGGAGACAGTGGTGCTGATGTTGCTGTCATCGTGCTTGGTGAAAGCATTCGTATCAGGGTCGAATGAGTGGAATTGCATCTCGGGATGCCGGCCTTCCTTAGTGGGTGGGTAGAAGAGGACCCAGATTTCTTGCGGTCTCTTGCTGTATTTGTCGACGATGTAGCCAAACCTTATCTTGAAGGATATAGCGCGAGGATCATAATACTGCGAGGCGGTGACTATCTGGTCGTACGGCGCGTGATCGAGTAAGCTAGCGTCGCCAATTTCCGTGTAGAGTTGGGCCAGATTGGCCTTAGCGACAGACATCTTGGGCGTGGTGTCGTCTTTGATGAGATTGAGTTGGGTTTGTAGGGCTTAGGGACTACAACCGGAGTGGCGATGATGTGGGTTGTAAGCAAGAGTACATGTATGCTGCAGCAAGAATTGGTCACCGTTGTTGTTCCGATGGACGCGTTCTGTTTACGTGACGTGGACTGCCTATCTAGGTAGCAAACGCTCGACTCGGACGCGCTAAGGTGCAAAGACGCGGTGAAGACGAGATAACAACAATGGGAAATTGGTATAAAACACATGTTACACAGTCTGTTGCTACACATGTCGTATCAAAGCAAATACAGCGTGATGTCCACGAAGCCAAAGACCATGCCCACAGCACCCGCTCTCTCGCCATCTTGCAAAGCGATATGTTGTGCAAGCCCAGTCATCCTCCTTCAAATCGACTCAAAGGCTCCTCTTCCTATATGAATGCAGTTGTCACTATAACGACCTCAAAAACCTCGACTTGTTGCTATCGTTACCACCATCCACCCCGTCCTCCCAGCGCGCCATTTCCTCGTCTTCAAAACGGTTCTCCTTCTCTTCACGGCGCTTCGCTTCTACCATCTCCGCCTTGATACTGGTTTGATGCTGTCGGAGTTTCTTCAGTCGTATGTAGTGATCCTCGATGTCATGAAGTGTCTTTTCGACGCGACTATCAATGACCTTCTTTTGACGCTGAAGCAAAGAGATTGAAACAACCGAACCAAAAGTGGAGCCGGGACGACGGTTGGCGATCGAGTTGCGAGACCGCTCTGCTTTCCGCGATGTGCGGCGCTCACGACGATCTTTATCTACTCCCGGAAGAGAGGCAGTCGCCGTCCGGAACGTTCTCCACTCTACATCGTGCTGATGTCTATCGGGGAGTGGCTCTGTCATCGCGAGGTGCGTCAAGCTCGCGCACTCTTCATAGGGCTTCGAGGCGTGTTGATCCGGGAACGAGTAAACGGAGTTGTCTGTACCACTCAACAAGCTGCTCTGGTCGCGGTTCGAGAAATGGTCCATGTCAATGTAACCAGACGACACCGAGCTTTGCGGCGACGATCCTCGCAGCGGCCAGTCAATTGCATCCGACATGGATTGGTTGGTCTCCAGCTCCAGCCTTTTTTCTGATCGCGCCTTGGTAGTTAGAGCATTCGGATGCAGTTTTAGCTCTTCAGTCATTGTTTTCAACCACGAGGAGATGGCATTGCGCGGAGGAGTCGAGCTGCGAACAGAAACTTCTTCGTGCGGACTACGGGGACGTGATAGGGCTGGTCGATCGTTGCGGAAGAAAGCAGTGATGGGTTTGCGCCCTCGTTGAGCTGAGACATGCGAAGATGTTTCGGCTGCGAAGCCTGACATTCGAGAAGCTTGTCTCTTATGTCTGGACCGCTGCAGACTGGAAGACTCGTCGTCTGCATTGCTATTGTCGCTCTTGCCAGGGTTAAATTCGGACGCATCGATGCTGACCTGCGGAAACGGCTGGACCTTTGCTATACCCGGCACTTTCTCATAGCCTGGGGGACGCCGTCGATCAAACTTCGTAGGATATCGTGGAGGTGGCTCCTCATCGTATGTGTATCCCTCAGTGGAATGCGTCGGTGTCCGAAGGTCTGGTGCATAATGCAGGCATAAGCTAGTCAGGTGCTGGACGAAGGACCTGTTCAATGGGATGAAGTCATGGTGAAAGTTCTCCACTCCCGCCTCTACCGCCAACAGGAAGTAGTACTTAACCACGGCATACAGTTCGTCTTTAGTTGCAGCTTGTTTGAAGGGAAGTTTTGTTGCGACCCTCTGCTCAAATATAGCCTCATACCATGTGACTTCCACAACGTCATGTCCTCCATGTCCGTGTCTTTCATCGACCTCCATGATGAACTTGGGGCCGATTGAGGAATTCGCATTAGGACTGAGGTATGCATACACAGGGTTGCCCCACTTCTTTAGGGACCTCTCAGTGTAGGTTCCAAGTAGCAAGCGCAGATTTGCTATAGACGATGGCTTGCTATGTCTTGAGAAATCGATGTCGCTCAAACCGGGAAGCTTTGCAAGGAGAGCGGCCGAAATGTGCTTTCGGAGTGCAGCGATTACACCAGGACCTGCAGGGATAGTCTCGAAGTGATTGACGGAGTCCATGTCAGGTAAAGAAGTTTCCTTGGACAAAGGTGTAAATTCCTCATCCGGTTGCGAGTCTCCGTCCTTTCGTATGAAGCAAGTGTCTTGTCGAACTTGATGAGCTGTGCGATGCGAACGAAGAACTGGCCTATAGCCCACGTCCTCGTCAGGATATATGAGGTGATCGAGAGACACATCGCCGGCGCCCGGTGGGCGATCAGAGTGGCGATTGTCGAAATCTCCATTCTGACGTTTGTTGTAGTTGGAGCTGGTTGCATGCAGAGGCTTCCGACGTATTGGTCTGACTGGCTCGGAGCCAGAACTGCTGGCTATCTCTGGAAGTCGTCCTGGTGTGCTGGAAGGAGACATCGAGGCTGGAACGCGTATGCGCAGTGATACGGACGAATTTGATTTGCTGTAATCTGCAGAAATTTGGTGGAGGGGCGTCTGGTTTGGGGTTCGAGATAAGATATCGCCAGTAGCAATGACGTTGTGGTTTCGCCGTCAAGGATGGGCTGGAGGGTATGAGCTGAGAAGGAGGCTTCTGGGCCTAATAACCGTTGAAGAGATTTCCTTATGGCTTCCGGGAAGAGGTGTAAGGATAACAGCGAACAGTCAGGCTTAGTATCGGGGTGTGCGACAGGTTTCTGGCGAGTCGGAAACGCTGTTGACTTTACGTTATCAGCTTGTCTTACAACATGAGAGAGAAAGAGGGTTTATATAAGGAACGAAGAGTCTAAGCCAAGTGCGCAAGACGCCTTCATTGAGCTGGAAACGGCGAGAGTCGCCACACAGAAATCCCTTCGTTTCCACTTTCGGGTCGCACCCCAAGTCTCGAGTGCGGGGGAGAAGCCCTACAAGGTCCGTGTTACTCATACTAGACTGAACCCCACGGGTGCCTAGAGCTGCGTCAAAAAGCTCACGCGAACTTGCAATGCAATGCTAGTCCGCGTCTCGCAGAGTATTCTCGACACTGCTGCCATGAGTCACAAGTTAAGCAGGACTTTTGATGACGTGGTTAATCCGGAGGTGTCGAAGACAATAAAATGGAAAGAAGATCCGTACTTCGAATTGGGAACGCGAGAGACCATACTGTGAAGAGTGCAAGTTCCAAAAAGCTCGTCATTGGATGCAGCGTTGTGCACACGCAGGATACCTGGGTGAAAAGAGCTTCCATCGTGTGCGTCTCCTGGGACAAGGTACGCTTCACGTTTTCCTTAAAGATGGAGATTCTTCCATACCCTTGAAGGACATATTAGATCTCCGCTGAGACAGCGAGTGTTTGCAGACCAGTGTCTTTCCGTAGGAACGCTCGCAGTATCCAAGCGTTTGGTGCGTGCTGTGACGACAACCTTAGCTTCCAGGAATAACTCTTTCAACGTGCAAATTCGACTTGAGGTCTCTTTTCTGCTCATGTGTAATGAGCCTTCATATCGTGTAGTTCTCAACAGCCCATGTCGTGATTTCGCCATGGTACTGATCTATTTGATAGACGCTCAGATGACTAGGATGGGGAAGAGTAACCGGTGTTGCGCGGCGACATGGAAAAACACCTCGAGCTGTTGGAGGAGAGTAAGAAGCCCCGCATAGCGACGATTGAATGCAGAGTGTGAGTTTCATTGGGGGCTGGGGAAGGTCCATCCCTGGATTAGATCAGTCCGCTGGCAAGTGCACCTCCTGAAATCGATGACGAGCAGCGCCTTTCCTTTTACGCACTAGCTCGTTCCGGCTGCTTTCCGCCGTTCGGAATCGACATCCTGCCTGCGCCAACCCGATTGTTATTGTTCCTATCATGAGGCACTAACATGCTCATACATTCCGTCTGTACACATCGCAATGGCAATTTCGGAAGGTTATAGATCGTATATCTGGTAATAAGTCGCTATAGACGCCGCGTACGTATCACATGTTCACCTTCCAACAACGCCACCTACAGCTTTCCTCTGTAACCCCTTCTACCCAAAGCATGCACCGGCCGCACCGAACCGCGATCAGACGACTGCAATCTCCGCATGAAGCTTCTCGTCCTTCTCCATAGCCGCCGATGCCGCCGCCGGATCTTGCAATGCATGCGGTACCAATTGATCGCCAAATAGCTCGTCCATCTGTTCCAAGGTCTTGCCTTTGGTCTCCGGATAGAAGAACCAATAGCATAGGAAAGCAACAATGTTGAAGCAGAAGAAGACGTAAAAGTACTTGAACTCAATCGTGCTGAGTGCTTGGGGAGAGAACTGGGCGAAGATGAGGTTCACAACCCAGTTTGTAAAAGTCGTGATGGCATTGCCAAGAGCGCGGCATTCGATGGGGAAAATCTCTGCAGGGTAAACCCACGAGATGATGCCAAGAGGCGTATAAAAGAAGGAGAAGAGGAAGTTCATGGCCACCATACTGCGCAGTTGCGCGCCATTGTTGGGGTCGAAGTATTGCCCTTGTACTGCGTTGACGAGAAGAGCAGCCGCTAGGCCCGCTGCCGATATAAGAAGAGGCTTGATACGTCCAAACTTGTCGACCAGTGCCAGTCCGATGGTACACCACACGATTGAGAGAGCACCGCTGATACCAATGATCATGAGCGACTCTTGTGTCGATATCCCGAGGATCTCGTAGATGCGCGGGCCGTAGTAGTTGATGACGTTGATACCGGAAAGCGGACCGAATGCTTGCACACCACAACCCAGCAAGAGACGCTTGCGCCAGGAGGTTTTCGTAATGATCGAGAGCCAACTGATATTACCCAGAGCGCGGTCTGCGATGATGACATCACGGATCTCGCGGAATTCTAGATCGATCGTCTCAGCGTCGTGGCCCCTTCGGAGCTTGTTGAGCGAGGCCATGGCGTCTTCATGTCGATCTTTCTCCATGAGCCAACGAGGAGACTCCTGCAGGAAGAAAATGCCTGCAAGCAAAACCAGACCAGGTACGTTCTGGAATGCGAGAGGAAAGCGCCCTGAGACATGTTAGCAGGAAAAGACAGCGACTCATGTCTAGGTCGACTTACATGAGAACTGAGTGCTGTTGAAGGAGCAGCCATAGCCGAGCCATTGAGCGACGAAGAATCCCCAGCTCAGCATCCACTGCAGCAAACCAGAGAGAGTGCCACGATACCTTGCCTCGGACAGCTCACCAGCGTACATAGGGATGGTCGAAGTGAGCTGACCTACTGCGACTCCGCCGATGAAGCGACCGATGATGAGCATAGCCATGTTCACAGCTCCTGCCTGAAGAGAACTGCCCAGAATGGAGATGACCGCTCCTACGAAGATAGTCCAGCGACGGCCTAGCACATCCGCGAACAGCATGTTGAAGATGGTCCCGGCGATGGCACCACCTTGAAAGGCGGACACAATACCACCGACAACATCGTCCGAAGGGTCGTTAAAGTACTCTTTGAAGGTAGGAAGGGCGATGGTGGAGGTGATGATACCAGAGTCATATCCGAAAAGGAAACCTGTGGATGAATCAGTACACAGCTTGTGAGCTCGTACGCTTGCCAGGTGGAAATCCTACCTCCAGTCGCCAGAAAGATTGCGCTAAAGACCGTGACAGCGACTCCCATCTTGAGCGATGATATGAGATAGTGTGTGGGGAAGTGGATCTATCGCCATGCGACACCACGGCTTATGTATCAACGGACTGTGGTTCCATTTCGCGTCCCTTGTTACCCCGGACTCTACTGCCCCGAAGCCAGCATTGGCTGACACGCGCATGTGTCCATGCACGGATCATGGAGACTGTACAAGGGGCCTAGAATGCTTGTCACGATCTACTGCTGTCGCGAAAGCTCGGGCTAGAGGGAACAACAGCACGCATCTCGCAGAAATGTTAAGGCTGATACATGATGCTGCCCCCTACGTGGTTGTATTAGTACTTCGAATTCCACAGCTTGCAACTACTATCATAAGGTACGATGCCCATGTTGAGCTTTTGCTACGATGCTAAAGGTTGTGCTCGCCATCAGTCAAAATGTCGGAGAATGATTATTACGAACGGTAAGGCCTTGCGCTACGGGTCGGGAGTTAAGATCGAACTGTAGGCCAAGCTGCAATGTCTTGGTGGGGTCCCCGCATTCGCGCTCGCTGTCGAATCAGACTGCCGGACGCGTATCTCCACTTCGGGACCACGTCGGGATAAGACCGTGCCAAACACTCATGTCACGCCTAACAGGCTATCGGTCGGTGGTCTCGCAGCCAATTCACCCGAACTTCGCAGCATGTTGTTACGACGCGTACTCTGACTGATGAGCTGAAGATGTAAATGATCAGTTGAACCCTCTCGCAGTAACAGCCACCAACCCTCCACCTTTCCGATAATCTATGCTGCACGACATTTTGGTTGCTCAAGCAAGCCAACCTTACGAACGCAAGCCATCTCAGTTCCGCAGTCGCTCAGTATGGTCCTAGAAGTCACGCGATGCGGAATACACGGCTTCCACGAGGCGCTCGGCATCGACACAGACGACATCCGCTTCTTTTGGGTCCTCCATTCAGATCGCGAAGACAGCCAGCAAATAGCGTATCGCGTTGAAGTCTTCACGACACCAGGATTGTGGGACAAAACAGTATGGAACTCCGGAAAGGTGGAAAGCGATAGGCAACGCAATATACTATGTGCACCTGACGGAGGTTTCGAATCGGCTACCTTCCACTACTGGAGAGTCACAGTATGGGACTCTGATGGTACGGTCACGGTTGGCAAAGCAAACGAGTTCTTCACTGCATACCCTAGAAGTTCTGGATTACTGCCACCATACAGCATGAACCAGACCTACATGCCACACACCAGCCTCATCTTCCGTACATGGTTTGAAGATGAGCCGAATCGATGGAAGGGCGTCTGGATCGGCGATAATGGAGACAAGCCGCTGTATGTACGCAAGTCGCTACATCTCGACCGGAAGCCGTCTCGTGCTATTGCGTTCGCATCGGGTCTTGGCCATTTCAACTTCGTCTGTAATGGCGATCCTGCTGCGGCGAATGGCCATGTACTAGATCCTGGCTGGACGAACTACCATCGTACCGTACAGTTTGTCGGATACGACTTGTCCAAAATACTAACCCAGGGCGAGAACGTACTAGGCGCGCACATCGGTAATGGCTTCTACGCGGGTGACCAGGGCGACGACCGTTTCTTCTGGCCATGCTACGAAGACAACACATATGTCCGATATGGCAATGAGCTCTGCTTCTTCATGGAGCTACATTTGTTCTACCCCGACCGCAGCCACGAGGTCATCACTACAGGTCCAGATTGGAGTGTCCGTAAGAGTGCGACCACACTGGCAAATATCTACTCTTCCGAAACCAAAGACTTGCGCGCCTATCCTACCGGTTGGGATGCGCCGGGCTTCCAAGCAGACGAGCAGTGGAAGCCTGCGACGCCCGTGACAGGTCCGAGGGGCAAATTGAAGTACCAAAGTCAACCGCCCGTTGTTTTGCTTCGGCCCCATACGATCAAATACGTCAAATTCGTTCCAAAATACGATTCATTGCTCAATTCTGGTTTCTATGCCAAGTGATGTCACCTTCCACATGCCAGTTCCTGCTGTCTCAAGGTTAGTTTACACATCCTGTTCTTTGTGTGTTGTTGTCTTGATGTAGGCCTTGGGCCTGTTCGGTGGTTTCCTTGTGCGAAGTGCAGACAGCCCGAGCAGCTCAAACCCCATACCGTATCGGGACTCGCAGACCGTAAGGTGCGAGGATGATATTGGTCCTTGCATGTCGTTCGTCGTCGCCACAGAAGCTGATCTGGCCTATGAAGGCAGTCTCTGCCGGAGTGGGTACGTAGGCGTGTTGTTGAAGGCGAAGGAGCAGGCCTTGTATAGCTGATCTCTCAGCTAGAAGGAAGGCTCTGGCTGCTGGAGTCATCCCTACACAAGTAAGCAGCACATCTGACAGACAAGCATCGCACATACCCATCCGAGTGCTCAGGAAGAGCAAGTACAACCTTGTATTTCGCATCCTTTGAGCTAAGGGTGATGGGCAAGGTTGCCAATAGACACCGAGTGTCCTTGCGACGAGCTCGCTAGCGAGACGCGAGGTTGTGGGGTGGGCTGGGCGAGCGTGGACGTTGAGGTGGATGATCGTGAGGATGATCACCATCGCGAAGGAGAAGGGTGTGAGCGGCATGATTGTGTGTGTGTTGTGGAAGCAACGAAGACACTGCAGTGCGGTCACTTTATATACTCCCCCCTTTGACTCATCGCTGTGTGCGCGGAATTCGAAGCCCATGGTTCAGCATCGCCATCCCACGGTACTGCGATGACCCAGAGGCGACCCAGAGACGACGAGCCAACCACACCTCCCGCATTCCATACGACTCATACGCGAGGAGATACTCTACGAAGAGAGAAGTATCGCATCTCCAAGAACCTCCGCCCGTTGTTTTGCATGAGACCTTCGAACCGCGATCGACTAAGACGGTCGAGCCAGGTGTTGTCATGTTCGACTTTGGACAGAACATGACTACCATGGTAAAGATTAAAGTCAGCGGGCCAGCCGGTTCGGAAGTCATCATCCGTTTCTCTGAGACGATTGGTGAAGATGGCAAGGTACTCATGCCCGATCCACTCTTTAAGCAGTTTGAGACGGGCGTGTTCTGCAAATTTACTCTTGCTGGTACGGGAGTCGAGACATGGGAGCCAGACTTTTGCTTCACCAGTGCGCGCTACATTCAGGTCGAAGGTGTCTCGCTCGAAGAATGCCAGGGGCTACCGGTGGTGCACTCGCTGGTCAGCAGGCACGTATCCTCGGCGGCACGTCGTCTCGGCTACGTCAAAACAGACAAAGAAGATGTCAATCAGCTCATCAACATGTGCTACTGGTCTTTCGTCAGCAACCTCTTCAGCTACCACACTGACTGTCCTCAACTAGAGAAGTTCGGCTGGCTCGAAGTAACGCACCTTCTCGCACCAGCCACGCAGTACATCCGTGACATGGAGTCGCTATATTCCAAGATACTCGATGACATAGTCGACGCGCAAGAGCCAAACGGTCTTTGCCCTACAATGGCACCCGAGATCAGATACATGTGCGGCCCTCTACACGACACAATCACCTGGGGCGGCGCCGTCGCATTACTCCCAGAAATCCTGCGCTTCTACTACGATTCCACTCACGTCTTCGAGAAGCTATTCGACCCCTGCGTGCGCTACATGGAATACATCAAGACGAAAGAGCGCGACGGCGGACTTATCGAGCACGGGCTAGGCGACTGGGGCCGCGACATCGCCTTCGGCAACAACCAAGCCAACATCGAAACAGCAATCTACTACCGCTGCCTCCGCAACATCCAACGCATGGCGCACGAACTCCGTAAACCAGATGCCGAGAAGCGGTTCCGCGAATGGGCCGATCGCATCTACCGCGTATACAACGAGCGCCTCCTCATTACAGATAAGAAAGAGTACCCCTACGCGTTCTACACATCCCGCGACAACCACCCAACCCACGACCGCAACATGGTCGCGCAAGCCTTCGCCCTCCAATTCGACCTCGCCCCTCCCTCCCACACCACCGACATCCAAACCGCCTTCCTAGCCGACTGCTCCTCCGCAGGCAACCGCATCCAAGCCGGCGAGATCGGCCTGAAATACCTCTTCAACACACTCTCCGACCTAAACCGACCAGATATAATCCTGGAAATGGCGCGCCAGGAGGAACATCCAAGTTACCTGCGGTTTATACGGCGGGGTGAAACGACGTTGAATGAGTTCTGGCAGGATAATTGTAGGAGCAAGTGTCATGATATGCTAGGCACGATATATGAGTGGTTTTATGAGGGGGTGCTGGGGGTCAAGGCGGAGACGGAGGCGTATAGGATGTGGAGGGTTAGACCGCCGTTGGGGAGTGAGTTTGGGGTGGTGGAGGGGAGGGTGGAGTGTCCGTATGGGGGGATTGAGGTTAGGTATGAGAAGGGGGATGATGGTGGTGGGGGCGAGGAGGTGAAGATGGAGGTTAGTGTGCCGACTAGTACGACGGGGTATTTGCTGTTGCCGAGAGAAGAGAGTAGTGTCGTTGTGAGACTTGGTGAGGGTGGTTATGAAGTAGAGAGGAAGGGGATGAGGATAGCGCTTAAGCCAGGCAAGTATGAGTTGGTTCTGCAGGCATAATACTGCATTGTAGATTGCATATATAGTTTAGTAACTGTGGAGCATGATGTGGCATCATATAATTCAAATGTGCCAGCAAACTAGTATAATGTTGCAAGTATGAGACACATACAAGCCAGCACGACCCAATCTGCCACCATCTACCAAAGCTGGCACGTGGGCTCCTTGACCTTGCACTGGAAGCTCTCCCTGAACTCCCTCGAGTTCGCCATGGTACCCAGAATACGTGCCCACTTAGGCGCGTGAGGATCGGTGTATACACGGTTGATGGCGGTATCCTTGCGGGTCTTGCCACACCACCAGTTGCTGTAGCTGACGAAGAACATCTGCTCTTGCGAGAAGTGGTCTAAACCAGGAAGGTTCTGGTTGGGCGTCTCCGCCGAACGGCGCTTCCAAGCCTGGAAAGACGCGGAGAGACCACCGGCATCGGCAATGTTCTCGCCAAGAGTGAGCTTGCCGTTGACGTGCAGAGGCTTGTCGTCAGGGCCGGGAACGGTGAAGTTGGAGTATTGGTCAACAAAGCATTTGACCTTCTGCTCGAAGGCCTCTACTGTTGAGTTGGACCACCAGTCGGTGAGGTTGCCGTTCTGGTCGTAGTGGCGACCAGTGCTGTCGAAAGCGTGACTGAGTTCGTGACCAGCGACGGAGCCGAAAGCACCATAGGACATGTATGCAGGTACATTGACGTCGAAGACTGGGAACTGCATGATGCCGGCAGGGAAGACGATCTCGTTGCCGGGAGGGTTGTAGTAGGCGTTCACGGTTGGGACAGACATATCCCACTGATCGCGATCCACAGGCTTTCCAAGGGCGGACCACTCTTCTTTAACCTCAAAGCGGCGCATGGCGAGTGCATTGGCGAAGAATGCGTCTGATGAAACATTGACGGTCTCGTAGTACTCTTCAAGCGTAGGCGGGTCCATGATATTCGGGCTCTTGGTGGGGTAACCGATCTTCTGGACGATGTTGTGCACCTTCTCGACAGCCTTCTTCGCAGTGTCCTTGTCCATCCATTCAGCAGCGTTCAGCTTCTTGGCGAACTCGGTCTTGATGTCTGTGATGATGGTATCGCCGAACTTCTTCGCTTCGGCGGAGAAGGCCTTCTCTACGAAGAAGCGGCTCAAGATCCAACCCAATCCGTTATCGACGTGGCTGACACATGATCGCCATCGCTCAGGAGCGGAGTCAGGGTCTTTGCCTGCGAGGACATTAACGAACCGACGGTAAGGCTTGACAGCATCCGCATCGACGTAAGCAGAGAGAGACTGGACGGCCTTCCAAATGAAGTAGGCCTGAAGAACATTCTCGGGTGTAGCTGCGAGGATTACTGACAGCTCCTTCAGATAGTTCGGGGTCGTGACAATGACGCGTTTGATGTCGCTACCCTCTGGAGCTTGGCCTGCGAGAAGCGCCTTCAGCTCGATCTCGGGAGCGATCGCAGCCGCGTCGTCGATCGAGAACGGGTTGTAAGACTTCGTGACATCTTCGCGGTCTTCTTCGCTTGGAGATGCTGCCGCAAGTTTCTTTTCGAGATCAATGATACCCTCAAATACAGCCTTATCCTGATCGGGGTACAACGCGCTAAGAACTTCAACAGCGACACCACGGTATTTCTCAACGAGTTTCTCGTCTTCGTAGCGCTCCTTGGAGGGTAGTCCGAAGTTGTACGGGGCACCAACAGACACGACAACAGTGTCAGGATCGGTGTCGTCGGCACCGGTGCCAGTTGAAACAAGTCCAGTGATGCCGTACTTGGCCAGAAGAAGGATAGTGTCCTTGATCGAGTTGGAGTCCGAAGCGATGGCAGAGCACGTCTTCTTGATCTCGTCAAGGACCTGCTTCAAAGGCCCAGCGCCAATGCTCTTGATCTTGTCTTCGTTCAGGCACGCATCGTAGGCCGCTCTCATCTTGTCAAAGTTCTCCTCATCGGCGGATTTCGCAGTTGACATCAGCTGCATGGGTGAGAAGTAAGAATGCTACAGAAAGGTTAGTTGGGATTGATCTAAATAGCAAGGTTGCACTTACCTCGGAGTCTTTGGGGTAAGGAGCCTCGAGAATGTGGCGAAGCAGCATCTGCGAGTTCTCCGACATAATTGTGCCGGTAAAGGCATCACCCTGGTCAGCTCGCAAGTCATGGCGGTCTCTCCAGCCACCGCAGACAAGCTCTTCGAAGTCATCGCATGGATCAAGCTCTTTGTACTGAGGTGATAGGTTGTAAAGAACCTCTGAGGCCGCATGCACACAAGCTGGAGTCAGACACAGCTCGCTCTCCTCTGGATAGTCGCCGGTCGGCTCATAGTCGACTGGACATCAATTAGTCGCGAATCAGTTCAACGTGACGCTACACATACCCTGCGGAATTCCATAGAGTATGAGTGTAGCTGTGGCGGCGATGGCAAACAGTCTTCCTACCGCTTGACGTTTGGAGTAGCGTTGCACGTGGCTTGGCTGCACGGGTGCAGACGCGTCCGACGCGACGAGCGGTGTTTTCTCAGCAGCCATATTGAATAGCTGAGCTGACAGTATCGAGCTGGAGATTGATGAGAGTATTGATGATGCCAGCCAGCTGAACACCGTGATGATGGATGATGAAGAAGAAGAGCGGAGGGAGGCGGAGGCGATAGAGTTGGCCAGAGGCGGAGTCCGGGGTGCAGCTGACGCATGTTGGCGCGGGACGCGCTAGCACGTGCGGGACCTTGCAGATTCCATGACTCGTGCATCCCCGACGTCATCCGACACTCTATCACCTGCCACCTTCACCTACCATCTTGTGTACGCATCCAGCGACGTTATCTACTCTTACATCGGCATTTCGTATCCTTGCCTCACAGAGTAAGCATATTACACCATCACCAGGGCATCTATCGTGCACAGCAACGCAGATGATCGGCGCGGCTTCGGCTCCGGCCCGGTCAGCTCAGTTTATCGATTCGGTCCCCAGCCCCCATCACCGACTCTCATGCAGCGACATGAGCTGACTTCGATCCAAGCTTGGGGCCAGCCACCCTTGGTAGAGCTGTCCTGGTAACAACGATGATCACACATTCCAATCGCTGCTCAGATATGCGGTATGATACCTAGGTACGAAGAGTGGTACGAGTAGCTTGCGCACACGGTGGCCCGACTGCTATTCTGATATGGAACAAATTTTGGTACATCTCAACCATGCGCAACGTCAAATATATACAAGAAGAGCTTCCATCACAGGCCAACTACGATCGACAATCTACTCTCCAGAAGGTCCAGCAAGTGTGGCGCCTGGCCTGATAGGAGTGCCAAAGTTCGGCGTGCCATCAGCGTTCCAGTTGACCTTCTGCGCCATCGTGTACCTGTTGCCGTCGCAGGCGCCAGTCTGAATAGCAGTAGCGTGGTAAACATTCCATATCTCCGTGCCATCGGGACTGGTGAAGAAACTACATCGTGGTCAGCATGGATATCGTGTGGTATCGACTGGTCAACATACCCGTTGTGACCTGGCCCGTAGTTGCCGTTGGCATTGGTAAAGACAGGTCCATCGCTCTTTTTCCAGCTCGCACTAAGCGCCGGGTCACCCGAGCCATTCCAAGTGAGCAGACCCAAGCTGTAGTTGGGTGTCCAGCAGAAGCTTGCCGAGTAAGCGATGTAGGTCTTGCCACCGTGGTACATGGCAACTGGGCCTTCTTGCACAGGGCTTCCATTGGTTTCCCACGACTCAGTAGGTGTAGAGAGGATCTTGGTGGCACCGAGTTTGCCAGGCGAGGTCATGGGTGCGATGCAGAGTGACTGAAGGGCGCCAGAGAAGCAAGACCAGGCAAAGTAGTTACCCCATTTGCTAAAACGGACGATGGAGCCATCGATGCCCCATACGTTTGTTAGTTGAGAGAGGTAGGTGTATGTCCCGAATGGGTCCGCACCACCTGCGACTGTTAGATTACTCATCATCTATACGATGAAACATTCTCACCTTTGAGCACATAAGGGCGCTGGAGATCCAGGTTGTCGGTACCACTGCGGCCGGCAGTATAGTAGATGTACCATGCACCATCGAGGTAGTGCAGCTCGGGTGCCCACATGTTGCAGCATCTGTCAGGGTTCGAGTCGGTCCAGACAACCTTTGTCTCTCCTGTCTTCAAGCCTCCAAGCGTCTTCGCCCTCGTGATTGAAAGGTTCGTCCATGTCGTCGTCATCATATAGTAGTACCCATTTGTGTAGGCAATGTGAGGGTCTGAACCATCCTTTTGCTTGAGCGGGTTGCTGAAGCTTGCTGCGCTGACGAGGGAAGAGAGTGCAAGCACACATGTGCTAAGCGACTGGAGGAACTTCATGGCGGTAAAGATAGAGGATGAAATCTGCAGTCGGACTGATAGTTCTAAATGTATTCGTCGCAGTCCATCTTATAAGAGATCTGACATCGCACTTGATCTTGAGCCGCAACAAGATTGAAGGTATACGCCACAACCCCAGTTCTTCCGTCCACGACTTACATTTTGTGATCATCCGGCTTTCCACGAATGACTACCATGACTGCTGAGAAGCCAAGATATCTCTAGCGGAAATCCGGGGTGCAGCGCAAAAACTAGAAAGGACTAGAGGAGCGGACCGCTGGGCTCAATGTCTGTGGAAGGCTCCGATTGGTGCAAATGAGTGTGCGCATCGGGCTGCCCTCTACCCCACATGTGGTCCTTCCTCATATGGACTACGAGACTCCTATCACGTGTGTACGACTGATGCCATGTGGGGACGGAAGTGCTGTGTAGTTGTCGTGAAAAGTACACGAAGAGGTGTCGGGACTTTGAGGCTGCATTGTGACGCCTGTGCAAGCCAATGAGCCGTCGGGTGCCGATGTGCCGAGGTTCTTTCCCGTTTTGCGCCAAACCTCATCATCTCCTGCCTGCCATCTAACCCCATCTACCCCATACTCTAGCCATTGACACTGGCACTCTTTGGCATACCGATGCCCACTGCGGCTGTCGCGCCAGCATCGACAGGCAACACCGCACCCGTTATCCATCTCGCATGATCTGAACTCAGAAAAGTTACAGCGCATGCTGCATCCCATCCATTGCCTTCCGTACCCAGCAGACTTCTCTTCTTTCGCGCTTCTCGAGCTTCTTCGCTCATACCACCTGCATACATCATGGGCGTGTAAAGCATCTGCCTCGTGTCAGCACGTCGCTATGCCACAGGAATGAAAAACGTACACCCGGACAGACACAGTTCACCCTGATGCCATCGGTTGCATGATGCGCAGCCATCGCCCTTGTCATATTCACCACCGCGCCTTTGCTGGTCGGATACAACAGATGAGGTGTGCCGCCTTTCAGTCCAGCCACGGAACCCATGTTGACGATGCTGCCTTTGGTCTCGCCTTCGTTCTTCTGCATGGCCGGTACACAGTACTTCGTCATCTGCACCATGCTGCTCACGTTAATCTCAAGACCCTTCGCCCATGCCTCCATATCGACATCAACCGCCGTACCCGGTGCACCGCTGACACCTACGTTGTTTACTAGTATGTCCAGCTTGCCGAACTCTTGAATTGCTTTAGCCACTACTGCCTCGCAATCGCTGGCCTTGGTAACATCGGCCTGGATCGCAATAGCTCTTCCGCGATGTGGTTTTGATGCTGCCATTTCCGCAGTCTTCTGAGCCCACTCCGTGTTCAGATCCAAACAGAGGACATGACAGCCCTCATCGGCAAGCATGATCGATATCGCACGTCCATTTCCAATCCCATCACCATCGCAACCTGCTCCAGTTACGATTGCGACTTGATCTTTGAGGCCACGTGATGGGGGTTCAGACGGTACTGTAGCCATTGTCTTCGACCCAGGTGTATGACGTTATTTCCGGCTGATGTTCGCAGATGATGATTCGGATCATTGAGTTCAAAGGCAGATGCCTGTAGTCGTCTCCGGGCCAAGAATATTGAAATCAATGCGATCGGCTTGGTGATGGTAGGCCAACAACTAGCAGCCACAAAAAGCAAACATGGTGTTGGTGGCATGCATGTGAGGACCTCGGTACATTGCGGGGTGACGCTAGCGACCACCGGTCGCAGATATGACGAGGCAGACTTGACGCGGCTATGCTAGGCTCCAAGGTCGTACGAGGCTAAGTCGCTGACCGAATACATATCGCTGGACTCCTCTTCACACGCCCGCAACTCTTTTCTCGCATCAAGATGACAATGGACTTTTCTCAGTATGGCGGTCCGTCCGACGAATGGCTGGCACTGGAGAAGACGCTTCCCGCGCGGACTTTCGACATCTCGATGGACCCACTCGTCCTTCAGAAAGCTGTAAACACTGAGAGAGAAGCACGCTCGGCAGAGCTGAAGCAATTGTTTGCAGCACATGTCGAGGTCAAAGATCATGTCATTCCAACCCGTGATGGCTCGACTATCGAAGCTCGTACCTATCGATCTGTAAAGAAAGACGCGTCGGAGAAGCTTCCTGTGTACTTGTACTTCCACGGAGGAGGCTTCATCTTTGGTAATAGCTCCTAACTATGGTGTATCGATATCCCTTGGCTGACAATGATACAGGATCGTTGGATAGCGAGGATCCGCTGTGTTCGCAGACCGCGATCAAAACTGGAGCGCTTGTACTGAACGTCAACTATCGCCATACACCAGAGCACCTCTTCCCAACCGCTTGGAACGATTCTCAGGATGCATTTGTATGGCTGCATAAGAACATCGACGCACTCGGAGGCGACCCATCCCAAGTCGTTGTCGGCGGCGTCTCAGCAGGCGGCAACCTAGCAGCCTCCCTCACCCTGGAACAGCATCTCAAAAAGAGTGAGACTATGGCAGGCCTGCCCACCCTAGCTGGCCAGATCCTCATCATCCCTTTGCTCGCCCACCCAGCTACATACGAACAAGGCCCCGGCAAGCTACTCAAGAAGTCGACCTCATCCTACGTCGAGAACGAAGACGCCCCGGTTCTGCCGAGGAGAGTCATGGATTACTTCACAGCACTTCTGAAGGCTGGCACACCAGATCTAAAAGACACAAAGATGAATGTAGTGAATGCGACGGAAGAGGAGGTCAAGGGGTTTCCTCCTACGGTGTTTGGTATTGCTGGCTTGGACCCGCTGCGCGATGAGGGGCTGTTGTTTGCGAAGAAGTTGTCCGAGGCTAATGTGCCCACGTCTACTACGCTGTTCAAGGGCGTTCCGCATGGTCATAGGCGTTTTGGGAAAGCGTTGAAGGCGTCTGAGCATTGGGATCAGTGTGTCAATGATGGCATACTGTGGGTGCTTTCGAAGCCGAAGGCAACGGGGAGGTTTGATGTGAGGGTGCCGTAGTGCTCGTGCGACTACAAGAGAACTGCTATACCTAGTCGGGATGTTTCCATGTTGTACGTGCCGTGTGTGCCCGCCATTGGTCTCGTATAGGCGTCCAATGAGCTCGAACCGCTTAGCTAAGAGGCACAAGACACGTCGCACTTACCCTTGCCCAGCCTCGACCTTCTCAGTGATACAAGCGCGTGCCACCCGATAATCATTGTTATCTACATACTAGCGACGCTAGTCACACACACCAATGCGGCTCCTTCATATTGAGTCCAATGATACCCCCGATCCTTCCCTGCAGATCTCGTTCTCGGAGTTTGTAGGAAGCAATGTCCCCCCATACGCGATTCTTTCACACCGATGGCGCGAGCAAGAAGTTCTATACGACGACATGATAGCTGCAGATCGCAGTGTTGCATGGAGCAAGAAAGGTTACGCGAAGCTTGAGATGACGTGCCGTGTTGCGCTTGCACACGGGTTTAGCTATGTCTGGAGCGATACTTGCTGCATCGACAAGAGCTCCAGCGCCGAATTATCCGAAGCCATCAACTCTATGTACAGCTACTACACCCATTCAGCGTGGTGCATTGCGTACTTGGACGATGTGGTACTCCATGAAATACGGTCCGATGCCACTTTGGGAGTTGGTCGAATTCTCTCCAGATCAGCTTGGTTCTCGAGAGGTTGGAGTTTACAGGAGTTAATCGCGCCGCTCAGACTAACCTTCTACGCGAAGAGCTGGAACAAGATCGGCACAAAAGCTGATTTGTGCCATCAAGTCTCTATAGCCTCCAACATTGCCGAGCAGGTTATAAAAGATCGTGGGATAATTAGTACCGTGGGCGTATCGGAGAAGATGTCGTGGGCAGCGAAAAGAGTCACAACGAGACCAGAAGACGAAGCGTACTCCCTGATGGGCATCTTTGGTGTGAATATGGCGACTTTGTACGGAGAGGGTAGAAGCAGTGCCTTTAGACGACTCCAGCTCGAGGTTTTGCGAACAACTACTGATCACACTCTTTTCGCCTGGGAGTCAGAGGCAGCCAATGGCGACATGCTAGCACCCAGTGTGTCGTGCTTCTCCAATGGGGCAAACTACGAACCATCGGAATATTCATACGAAATGATCCGTGGTCTAGAGCTGATGCCAAACTACGAAATGACAAACGCGGGACTCCACATACAGCTGCCTTTGAGAGGTGATCCAGAGCACATGGGGCTATACTATGCATTTCTGGCATGCAGGCACAAGCCTAACCCAAGGTTCTCTGTTGGCATATACATCGGCCGACACGACGGGTCTAGAAATTTCCCTCGCTTTACTAGGAGAGTCCTGCATGGCAAGGCCCTCTACGTTGTAAAGGTCTCGAGCCATTTCAATGGACCACTCGACCACGATGGGTCGGCTAAGCCAATATGGATTACAGGCGGGAACCGTCTAGCATAGGTAGTGTAGGTTTCGTTACTAAAAGCTTCATCACAACGTCAATATGAAACTGGTGTGGAAGTCTTAATTCAGTGTATCTAGATAGTGGTCTACCAGCTGAGTGCGCTCAGTGTCTAGCGACAAACTCCAACACACCCTTCACAAAAGCGTCAGGATTCTCTTCAGCGATATAATGCGCTGCCTCCTCAATCGTCACCATCTCCGCACCTTCATGATACTCGTTCGCCATACCCTCCGCAGCCTGTGCCAGCATAAACCTCTCCCCATTCATAAGCATCGACGGCACCTTGACCTTCCCATGTTCAGCAACCCAATTCCTATTCTCCTCCACATCCTTCTCAAACGCATGATAGACCTCCAGACCCGCCCTAATAGCACCGGGTTGCGAGTAGGCCAACGCGTAATGCTCAAGATCAGCGGGCGAAATAGCCGCGCTGTTATATGAGATTTTATCGAAGAAGTGCTTGAGATACTCCCGCTCTTTGCCCGCGATCAAGAATTCCGGCAGGTCGGGTACCTGGTGGAAAACAAAGTGGAAGACGTCTGGTGTGCCTTTGACGTTCTCGTAGCATGATGTGCCGGGTAGCGGACATTCACCCCAGATGACACTAGCGACATCATCGGGATAGCGCGATGCATAAGCGAACGCAATCATGCCACCAATGTCATGTCCCACAACATTAATCTTCTCTTTGATGCCAAAGTGCGATTGAACCAGGATACGTAGGTCTTCTGCCATCTGCGTCTTTTGATAGCCCGTTATGGGCTTTGAAGATTGTCCTGCGCCACGGTAGTCGGGCGCGATGACGCGATAGCCGGCCTCTGATAGCGGCGTGATCACATGCCGGAATTGGTATGATGTCTGAGGGAAGCCGTGGATAAGGAGTATGACGCCTTTCTTTCTCGTCAAACGTGGTGGTGCGCATTCAATGTAGTTTAGACGGATCTTTTCGTTGGATGTGGTGGTGATTGACGCGATTCGTTGACGCCAGCGCGAGCTGTCGATGGCTGGGGGTTGCGGGAAGGCCATGATAGATTGATGGTTGAGAGATAGCGGGTCTAGTATGAGGTAAAGAGGAAGTATACGTATGTGTTGAGATGCATGCTCTCATGAGAGGCTGTGCATTGATTTGTAAGGTATGACGCTCTCGCAGCGTCATACCCAGCCTCGAAGTGTGCGGAGTGGAGTTGTAAATACTGTTGGTATGCTTTTCCACCCCATCCCACGACTTCTTCCTAGAAAGTCGGTACGATTCTTGGCTTATAGATGTCTCCCTTGGCCCGAAGCACCATGGCGATTCAGGCGTTGTCCTTGGAGTGATGGTCTTGGAAGCTATTCCGTTTCAGGCCTAGCTCCTCCAGTGTTGATATTCCGACAATGATGTCGCTATACAGAATGGCCATTGCAATGATACCTGGATTTCGAGATGCTTTATCCAACGGATAATTGTCTATGACGCGCAGTCTATTGGCCGTTTGGTGTTGGTCTGTCAGATTCCTACTGCGCCATTGGAGAGTGGCGTCTGATGCCAGCTTCGCGACGACGGCAATTCGAACTGTGCAGTAGTTCGTCCGGTAACCCGTCTCCTATCTCCTGGAAGGTATATCCACTCTCCGGGTTTGATGAGCGGCTCCATCTCTCTTCATGTCTCGGATCTCTTGAGTCAGGCCGAACGCTATCCTCTGCGCGATTCAGTCAGGATGCCGAACTACATGAGCATGGAACCCAAGAGGGTAAAGAGTAGATTTAACAAAGAGAAGCATTGACGCCTTGTGGGAGCAAGAATGAAGGATCGGGATTAATGGAACATCTGGGGATGCGCATGCGACACGCTAGAAGGGTTACCCCACCCTTTGCCGTCTTTGCCTGAGATCCGCCTGAGGACCCTTGTCGAGATGACCAATGAAACCGCGCTTGGGTTGATGCCATTCTGCCGGAGACGCGCAGCTGCGGTAACGTCTGTCGCATGTCGTTCCTGTATCAACGCCAACTGTATCAGGCCAGTAACATGGCGAAATTCACCCCCGCAATGCCGCAACTTTCCTCAGGTGCGAAAAGCAACCGGCGCGTACCGTAGTAATCAGGACGGCGACATGGCGATATATAAGGTCGCAGGGGATGGCGATGCATCCAGCAGTAAACCCATCATAACCTCTTACGCCTTTAAATAACCAAAACCGACAATGCCGACACACGGAGAGAGGAACCTCGAGCTCGGGAACCAGGCGTATGCTGCTTCCTTCGACCAGGGCCATCTAGCACTACCACCTAGTCAAAGATACACCATCGGTAAGCACCTGCAACCACATTTCCAGCTATTGCCCACTAACATGACGCGTCAGTAACATGTATGGACGCGCGCATCGACCCAACTGCCGCCTTTGGCATCCCTCTCGGAGCCGCCCACGTAATCCGCAACGCCGGCGGCTGTGTACACGACGCGTTCCGTTCCATCGTCATATCGCAACAACTGCTTGGAACAAGAGAAGTCATCGTCGTAAAGCACACCGGCTGCGGCATGCTCACATTTGACAATCCGACTGCGAAAGCCGTGGTCATGAAGAAGAGGGGAGAGATAGCCGCGAGAGAGGTGGAGACTCTCGACTTCCGGCCTTTTCGTGATCTGGAAATTCAGGTTAAGAAGGATATACAATGGCTCAGGATCAAAGCGATCGAGGAGAACATTCGGTTCAGTGGGTGGATCTACGATGTCGAGACGGGGAAGACGACAAGAGTGGTGTAAGCTGATTGGAGGATTTGATTGAGCTTGCGATATACCCATAATAATGTAACAACATCTTGTGAGTCTTGCCTGTCAACGTACACATCAGCCCCGGTGTAACTATCGTGATGTGGAGTTGTCGGTATTTCCTGGCGCCTGCCCAGGTGTGTAACAGTCAGCACCTTCCCTGTTATGAGTTAGCGGCGTGGCAGCCTAACGCCCTGTCAGCTTCCACGACGCCCTTTATCTCTGCGCTCATGCAACAACAAACCTCAATTTCATTGCATTCACTCATTCACACGCACTTCAAGCAGCCAAATACACTGATCGACCATGAGCTCCAGAAACGCGTCGCTTGAGGGCTTACCAGATGAGCTGGTGCAGGAGATAATCACACATCTCGACGCCATTCGCTCTTTCGACACGCTCTTCAGGTACACCGAACACCAGGAAAACGTGACGATGGAGGCAAATCGTCAATCCGACAATCATATCCGCAGGCTGGCCTTGTACAATCTTTGTCTGACATCTCGTTGTCTAAGGCGAATGGCTACCCCAATCCTGTACGCCTCGTTCATAGGGACCGCCGCCGAGCATGGCACCGAACCTCTCCAGTTGTTTCGCGAAAGAATCTTAGACTCCTCTGGCTCGAGTGAGGAACTTAACAAGTATCTGAAGTACGTGGAGATTCGACGCATGGACAAGAAGTTGCAGAACGACAGCACCCCTCCGCACACCATTGCACAACATTACCTTACCATGCTAGCCGACGTCGTCAAACAGGCTGTCAACCTACAACACTTGTCGATCGAGAATATAGAAGACCGTGAGCGATCCTTCTGGAGACACTTTGTCCCTGGACGGGAAACAACGCTTTCGCCCACGCCCATCCCAGGAGCCGAACATGTTTTTAGCAAGCTTCAAACATTGTGCGTCAATACGACTCTCCAACACTACGGACTTGACGCCAAAACCATCTCGTTTGATCAAATTTGTTCCGTGGTATCGACGGCGCCTATGCTCACCGACTTCCGAGCCCGTAGCGTCATGGCACGATCGCCAGCATCGATGTGTCAGCTTGGCTCATGGCAAACGCTGCAGCGCCTCGAAATCACCTCATGTCGCCTCGGGATAGAGGCGATGGCCAGTATTCTATCGGCATGTGAAGGCTTAAGACATGTTGTCTGTACATGGATGCCTATGGAGGATTTTGAAGGGTCGCCATCCGACCTGCACGCCAGCCTTTCACGTCACGCCGACACGCTCGAATCCCTACATCTTGATATTCGTGAAATCATATTCCGATCAGAGGAGGAGACCTCGGACTCTGATTTAGACGAAGATTACGTAGAGATGGTACCGCTCAACCCTCTCGGCACTCTTCGACCATTCGAACGTTTGAGCAAATTGGTTATATCTCAGAACTGCTTGCTCGGTGCTTCTGCTCCGTACGCTGATTTTTCGAGGAACACGCCCCCAATAGCCGAGCTGCTATCACCGTCTCTCACAAGCCTCACGATGTTGCTTGGTGTTGAAAGCCAATATCGGATGGGATACAAGAGCTTGGATACATCGACTGTCCTGCGGGATTTCATCGCGGAATGCAAGACATCTGATCTGAGCTTGGAAGACGTGAGTTTCCAAGCCGAGTTCGAGTTGTCTGCGGCGCCCGAAACTACGAAGGCGTTCCTTGACAGTGGTGTGCGTTATGAGCAAGTATTGGAGCGGTATTGGGTACACGAAGCCTTCAGATAGAAGTCGTCGAATGGCTATGCGGTTTGCGTACCGTGGATCGTTGAGAATACGATAGTCGGTGACAACATCAGGTACCAGAGGACGCGACAAGCGCACTAGGGAGCGTCAAACGACACTGTCAAACGCAAACATCGGGTTATATTAGCCTATGTCCTCCTAGTAGCCAAGCTCCGGTGACATTGCGCAACGCGGATGCGGGACATTCATTGGAAGAGCGCATGTGGATCTGCCTCAATCGCACCGCCGTCGACCTGACGACAGGATTCTGCCTTTACTTACTTATTTACTTGAAGGGTGGCCATTGCGGCCATACACCTTCACGTGCTAGCGCCCCTCACCAGGCGATTGTATATCCATATAAGCCAGGCATTCTACTCTATACTTACACTTCTCTATCCTCCACCTTGATAGGCATCTTTTCGACACACTTCATTAGCCTTTACTTGCTCGATCACTCCTTGAGCCAGTCCCACTACAGCGGCATCGTTTATCTCGATACCCAATTACAATAAGCCATTGGATAGTACCAGTCCGAGCAACCACATCAGTAAATAGTCGTCAACATGGCGACTTCAACCGACCAGGCCACTACTCTACACATCGCGTCGCCCTCAGACATCAAGACAGTTGCTGCGAATACAGAGACACACGATGGAAAGATCCATAATCAAGAGAACACGTTGGACTTTGATCCTTCGCCTGTCGTGTCCAAATTATCTGCGCCCGAGGTCGAGAAGTCAAATGATACCCAAGACCAAGTCGCTGTCGAGGATTCGACAGATAAGACACCTACTCTCGGCTCTCCCTTCCCCTCGCCCAAACTAGTTGCAGAGGACAGCAAGAGCATCGCCTCTCTTGAAGACGGCGAGATCGAAGAGCAAGACCCTGACAAGGACGTTGGAGCGATCCTTATAACTGTGCAGGAGCAACGAGAGCAGCTTGATGATAAGGAGAAGACCAAGCTTGGTATGTCTCACTACCATCACCAAAGTCATCTGCTAATGTAAAGAAAAGCATCTCCAACTGCCCAGAAAGAAGTTCCTCCGGCATCGCCTCCTGGACTGCATGTCGAGGCCACCAAGACCGACATTGACATCGGAACCGAGGACAGCGACTTCAAGACCGACACAGATGCAAACATTGAGACGTCGAAGCCTTCGAGGCCAGCTCACAGTCTACCTCCGCACATGCGGCCTGACTTCCAGTCGCCTCCATCCCGCCTTTTCGGCCTTCCAGACCCGAGGGTAGGCAGTCCCACAAGCCCTTGGATGTATGCACAACTAACGTATACAGCACATGATGTCGCCAAACGAGGTCAATCGATTCAACGAAGCTCCTCGCGCCCCTCGCTCCCACTTCAATTCCCACGGATCCCGAGGAGGCGACCACGGCGATCGCGAGCAAATCGTCCGTATGAACGCACAAGTCATGAAGCTGAAGAACGAACTCGACGCCGAGCGCAACAAGGGCGTGCGTCTCCGCAAGTCCATCGAAGCTGAGCAGCAACAAAGGGTCGAAGCCGCCTCATCCGTCATGCTAACAAACCTTCTCCGCGACCAAGCCACAACCCTCACGCTCCAGTCCAAAGTCGAAGCCCGAGAGCGCGACCTCGACGAACGCGAGAAGAAGATCACTCAACTCGAAGTCTACCTCACCGAAGGCCAGAAACAGCTCATGTACGCGCTGGAAGAGAACGGCGATAGACCGATGAGCGCTGTGCAGATGGAACACGCCCGTCGCGAAGCCGAACTCAACGCGCAGAGGGCCGTGGCTGATATGAACGGAAAGTTGAACATCAAGATCGAAGCCCTCCGTCTCCGCGAAGCTGCCCAACATATGCGCGAACAGAACTGGAAAGCCATTGCCCGCGAGCAACTCGAGGCTGATTTCGCGGATAACTCCATCACCCATGAGAAAGCTGATGAGGTTGCGGAAGAGGCGTATAACGACGGCTTCGGTGCAGGGAAAGAAGTAGGACGTAAAGAGGCGCTCAAGGAATCCCACCAACGCGGATTTCTAGAAGGCTATGGTGCTTGCCATCGTACGCAGGTTACGCTGAGTAAGGTGCGCCAGGGACTCATTGCGCGGGACGACCCTGAGCTGGACTTCCTGTATGACGCCAATCATCCTCATAACCTGTGGAACATCGGGGAGATGGTCGGACGCCTGCAGCGAGACGACAAGATCGCGCAGCCAAAGGAGGATGTGAAGAAAGAACCTCCAGTCGAGAAGAAGACTCCCGCGCCTGTCCAGGAAGATGATGACGCCGAAGAAACCTCCAGGATGAATCGCAAGGTCGACGGTCGTATGAACGGCGGTCTTTCCAGTGGCCACACCAACGGCCCCAACAGCGGTCATTACAACGGCATCAACGGCAACACCAACAACCACAACAACAGCGCCATGATCAACAAGCGCGAAGAACCCGCCATCAAGATGCCACCTCCCCGCCCGACCTTCGCCGCCGAACTCCGCGGCCCCTCGCTAACACACAACGGACACATTGTTCTCGCCAACAACGTCGCGTCGCCTGTTGCCAAGGAGACTGGTCGTCCCATCATCAAGTACGAGGATGAGGGTGTGAATCTGATTGATCTTATGTAGGGGATCATGATTGGGATGGATGATTGGGATGAGAGGAGGTAATTCGAGGTCTTTTGATTGGATGATGCTTGAGTATGGAGATGAGCGGAAGTAGGAGATCGATTTAAAAGCTTGCATTTACAATATTGATATGGGAGCATATGACAGGGTTCGGGTTTCCGAATTATGGGGATGATAGTAGGGGTATATATGATTGATTTAGAATATGTATGGAGAGGTGATACAAGACCATATAACCTAGTGCTTTAGCCTACAGGTTTCAGTATTGACGACCACAGTATACTTTTCTCTATCCCTTCCTTTCTAGTCAGACCATGTTGAATCTCTCCCGCCCATCTATTCGTAATACCTTTACAACCGTCTGCCACATTTTTGAGAACCCCACTCTACCGTCTGCACCGCCCATCAATCCTGCATAACACTCCACCCCTCACCCCTCCCCCTCCCGCCAAATCCCCTCCCACCCCTAACAACACGCCCATGCCCCCTCTCCCCCAACATCTTCCCCTGCGGCGCCTCAACCTTTCCAAACTGCTCCGCCTTCTCCTGTGCCTCCGCCGACAACGTCGGTTCCTTGCTCTTCACCTCGTTCTCCTCGTCCCCTCCATCAGCACCAGCACCCTCCCCATCCTTAGCAGGCCACTTCTTAGCAAAATCCTGCGCCCCACCGCCCACAGCCCTCATCTCTTCATCCACAACCCCATCCTCCCTCGCCGCATACTTGCCCACAATTTCCAGCAGGTCTGTTTCCTCCTGCTCCTCCCTCTGCTTCTTCCACGTGTCATACTCATCCCACCACCACCCGTGCGTTACACCGTCTTTACCCAAATATCCCGCTTTGCCGTCTTCGTCCAGCCGTGCCACCCACGGCTTATCCACGATATAGTGCAGCACAGCGACCTGGTCGTCACGCCAGATATTCTCATGCCAGTACCGCCACGTCTTCAGCGCATTCGTCTTCCAGCTCAAACTGCTCCAGCGCCCGTCGAAGGCTTCGTTGAGGAAATCCTGGTCGGGGAATTTCATAGCGCGTAACTTTGTATTGCCCAGTTCCTCGAACTTGCTCAGTACGAAAGAAGATAGTTCCTTGCTAGGCCGATAGAGAAAAGTGCCGGAGTTGAAGTTCGACAACGTGTATGGTTCCGGCTTCACCTCCGCTAGCTGATCCGGCTTGGTGAGTTTGGCAATAGCGCAGTTCTGCGGGTTCCATTCCGCTGGGGCCCAGGAGTCGTGGTCGAGGTTGCAGACGCAGGTGTGTACGGCCATTGTACGCATGCCATCGCCTCCCTTCAAATACGCGTCGTTTTCTTCGTTGAAGATCAAGGGCGATGGGTTCGAGAAGATCATCATATCAGCATCCAACCAACATATCCTCTCAAACTTCTGCCCTCCAGGCATATCCCACAAATCGAACACACGCAGTTTCGTCCACGTATCGATGAAGCGCTCGGCGACCATGCCGTGTTCTGTTCCATCTTCTGGCAAGCGCAAATGCTCAACCGGGTGCAAGATGATGTTTGAGTAAGCGGCTTCGGCTTTGAAGGCGTTGATGCAGGTTTCTGGTAAGGTCTCCGGGGTGTAGGTTATTATGAGGGGGGTGGAGGGGGAGTGTTTGTGCAGGGTGTAGGCGAGGAGGATTGCGCCGGCTAGGTAGCTGGGGCGGGTGAGGAGGGTTACGTAGGCGTTTTTGCTTTGGGGGGCAGTGTGTTGGTCTGCCATTGTGAGTACCGGAGAGTTCTGCGACTCGGAGCTTTTGTTGGTATTGGTGGTTCAGGGGGCACCGGCAGGGATATGGAAAGGTACATGTGGTTGGGAGGTGTTCACAGGTCCCACCATGGCTCTGACGTCACGACTCAACAATCCGAGGCCGGAAGGCACAACGGTGTCATCGGAACTGAAATACACACAATCTCATGTGGAGTGAGAAAAGTGAGAATATAGTGCTACAGGTTCAAATTACGGGTATCTCAAGAATCCTACGTCGCGACGGCCACTCGTGCATGCACCTATCGTACAATCCCCTAAAACTGCTTCCCATCCTCTTTCGCCAGCGCCTTGCCCCACGCGCTCTCGAACGGATCATCTGACTTGGCCTCCTGTACATCCTGTAAAGCTGCAACCTCAGGCACCACGCTCGGCGCCGTTAGCTCGACAGGAGCAGGAGCAGATTGACTCAACACAGCAGCAGCCTCTGGGCTTTCGTACTCGAAGTTGCTGGAGTAGACGACAGCAGCGAACGCCTCAAGACCACCAACAGCTTCGATAGCAGCCAGGTACTCATTGTTGGCTCCAGTGCCGATGCTGTGCGCTTGTCTGCAGAATACGGCTAAGCTGTTCGCAACCTTGGCCTTGATGTCGTGTCCAACAATCTCCTGCACACGAGCGTGGTTATCAGAGATGAGCGGGATCTTATAGGAGAGCTGTGAGATCTTGACGTCGACGAGGTGGGAGAAGGCAGCGTCGAGGAGCTGTGTAAGGACATGTGTGAAGGCAGGCGAGTCGATAAGATCAGAAGTTTCGTCGATGAGGCGGCGGAGAGAGGTTGTTGTTGTGGGTGATGTAGACTCGGAGGACGAGGTCATGCCGGATTCGCGGAGGACGTAGTCTTCCTTGTCTTGCGGTGGGAGGAGGAAGGTGAGCCACTTGCATGTTCTGTGAGGGGTCAGCGGGTGTCATTTGAGATGAGATGCGGGTCATACCTTCGCTCTTCCTCTGTTGCACCTTCGACCCTCTTGCGCACTTCCAGGGTAAGTTCCGACAGTCTCTCCAAGGTCATCTCTTCTCTTGGGTTTACGAGCCCGAAGACGTCCTTGACTGCGGTCCGTACTTTCTCGATAAGCTCTATGCATCCCTTGTGTAGTAGCCACCAGCTCAAACTGAGGTATCTGCGGTTTGTCTCGAAGTCGTTGCCATATGCTTGCTCGAAGTTGTCGTCGTCGTTGTTCTCCAAGTTGATCTTTGCGCCTTCGGTTGTCGACTGCGGCGCGGCTAACGACACGACGGAGGCGAGGTAGTTTCGGCGGCCGAGAAGATTCAGTTGAATGCGGGTGAGAAGCGTGAGGAGAGAGAGGGTGTAAATAAGGGTGAAGGCGCGTGTTATGGCTAGTCGCGTCAGTATGTCAAGTCTCAACGCCAACATGACGGTACTCACAGCTGATCTTCATCTCGCTCCATAGCTGCGCCTTGCTCTTCTTGCTCTTCCTATCCTCCCTGACCTCTGGGATGGCCTCGGTAGGGCCCGTGCTGCTGTCACCCTCAGTAGCGATTTGGCTGGCATGGATGAAGCTATCCGTCTGAAGACTCGAGCTCCGTGCGTCATCCTCGGTCGTGTCTGCTACACTCGGGGGCGCTGAACTGGCAATCTCGCTGGGTCCGACACTCCGCGATAGGCGCTCTGCCTTTTGTCTCTGCAGCTCTTCCAGCACTTGTTCGACGGGAATGGCATCCAGTATGTTCTCGGTCGCGGTGGGCAGGATGGCGAGGACGGTGAAGGTGCAGTCTTCCTGGTTTTGCTCGAAGCGCCGGCGTAGACTGCATTGTCGTTAGAGCATGTCATGTGATGGACGAGTTGAAAGCGGACTTCTCTTTGGCGATGCGATCATCGCTCATGCGCTGCCTCGCCTCCCCGAGCTTGCCCAGGACATACTGCCCCGCCAGATAACCCGCGCCGAGCACTCCGGCGCCGATGGCAAAGTTTGTGCGGTTGCGCCTGAGCCAGCGACGCGTGCCCTGTATCATGGTGATGGTCGAGAGGGCTATGCAGCCCGCGTACTCGGGGGTGGAGCAGGCGTCGCGTGTGGGGAATGTCGGAACACGACCAGAGATAACGCTGCGTTCCGGGAGGTCACGGGTGCGTCAATGCGGCTATGCGTAGCGTGAGAGTCGTCGTAGTCCAATCAAGCGTGTAGCGGTAACGTGTATAGCAGATGTGCTGTCGTGAAAGAGCAATGCAGGCGTTCAGCTTCCAGCGCATGCGAGGTTGGTGTCCGGTTGCACCAAGCCTTCGTGATTGGGCCGAGGTCCATTGCCCTTTCGGGATAGGAAGCCCTGGCCGCTTTCCCCCAGAATGTTGTCATCACCAAACCGCTTTCAGTAATCCGAGTCCCACACATGCTGCAACAGTTAAGCTGTGCTTCATCATGGGAATTTCTTAATGAATCAATGTGTTTAGCCACTCGGGTCAAGTGTCCAAGAAATAGTGGCATTTCAAACTGGATAAATACAGCAGCAGTACATTTCTCCTCAGCTATGGCTCATGATGGCCTGTGTTCAGTCCATGACAATGACAAGTCCCAGCGTCCGCAGCGAATGTATTGACTTGAATATTCAAAAAAGAAGCAACATGATACATCAGATCGTAAGTCGTGTCGTATAATCGTTATCGTTAAAACGTATGATGTGTTTATCAAGCGAGCGTTGTCGCTGTTGGTGTCGTTACCGTTGTCTCGGGAGTATCAGGAGAAGAAGTCGTGCTCGTGATTGGAGAGGATGCCTCTGAGCTGGATGGCGTGACTGATGCTGGGGTTCTGTAAAGACTGTCAGAAACTGTACGCATCTTTGGTGTCGTTACGCTTGCTGGGACCATGGGAAAGAAGAAGCCGGTTTGGACGCTGGCTAGGTATATCTAGCGACATGACAAAGGAGACCGTGAGCGGACGTGGGGTAACGTCCTACCAAAGTGAAGATAAGGCGGATTCCACAGCGAGCATGAAACCCGCAAACTAGTAGTACTAAGCCTCCTAGTCACGACGGCAACACGACGCTGGACCAAGGCCTAAAGGAGATGCCGGTCGGCCATATATCATTTGAGAGAAGGAAAGATGGTGAACGGAAAGGGAATGGACGGAGATCGACTGATGCAAGCATCTTCGTTGTCGCGTTAGCTGCTTACTTTTAGTGCATGAACGTACCCGCGTGAAACGAGAATACGAAATCCTCTGCATGACAGCATTTCCCCCTCTCCCCCTTAGTTCCTGGTAACTAAGGCGGGAGTAGTAAAC